AGTTCATCTAGCACCAACCTTTTAACCCGCTTAATTCCCCCCTTCCTTGACTAAACGCAAAACTTTCAAAACGTTGTAAAACCGTGGTAAACACGACGAGAAAGTGTTCAGACCTAGCCGTAAATGCTCTCTTCGACTATACCGAGTTAAGGAAGCCGTTAAGGAAGAACGGCCGAAGCAAAAAAATGCGCGGCGTTCGAAAAAAAAATGCTTTTGAAATTTTGGTCGGCTGAAACTTTTAAGAGCCCTTTTAAGGTGGGGTCTAACGAAGTTCTGGTTTTGTTTTTGTATTTTACACAATGTATACGATATGTAGATAGTGGAAAATTCAGTTTTTGAGGAGTTACTGGAGTAGAAGTAGATGTTTTTTGGCAATTTTGAATCAAAAGTAGGATTTTTTAGATTTTTTTGGAAATTAAAATCGAATTTATAGTAAAATACGTCTTGGCTAACCACTCTATCTCATTATGAGGATCGCAGAATTTATTTCCATCATCTTTTAATATATATTTTTACAGTTTTCATCAAATTTTTGTCAAAATCCTCATCTTAAACAACTTTTCCACAATTGTCCGCCAAAAATCGCTGCTTATTACCAGCAAAATCCTTTACAAGGCACGCAGCACCTTCTATCACAATCCCTTGCCCTTTTTTGCTTGACTAAACAACGCTAACCCGCGCTTACATCAACTTATTTACACTGTTTTCAATTGAAAATAAAAAAAAGAATGGGGGCTGAAGCAAAAGGTCGGAACGTTAAAACGGCTTGAAACAGGTATTTTTTTGCTTTAGCGTTCCGTAACAAACTCTCCGAACTCAACAGTAGTCGACTTTCTCTCGAGACATAATGGTAATTGAATGTTGTAAATACAGTAAGGAAGTTGTTTACAATCCAAAAAATATTGCGTGGGATTTACAGAGGGGCCCTAGAATTCATAAAATTTCATTTTCAATCTTTTCAATTTTTTCCAAATTAAACCCCTAAAGCGTTTAGACATCAAATTATGCATCAATCGCTTTTTTATCATTATGCTGATGAGGACATATAACCATTCTACAAGCCACATACAAAAGCCATATACATGTTAAACAGCCAGAGAAAGAGAAATTTGCATAAATTTCATGGCCTCGCTTTATTGGAAACTTGTCTATATTTCTGTTTGATTGCTATGCGATTGATGTTTTTGGGCCAATTGAACTGATTTGATCTCCAATTTAGGGTTGCACAGTGCATCTTTTGGAAAGCAGAGGATGAACGCACGGTGCGAAAAAGCCTTGTTTTGCTGCACTGTGCAATTTTTTATTTGCTATTTTTCGCACACAGTTCAATATTATTTTTTCTTTTAGTTTTTGCACAGTGCAAACCGATTTCTGCTAAAATTTTTTTGCACTGTGCGACAGCGGCAAATATCCGCACAGTGCAAACCCCTTTTGAAATTTCTGTTGTTTGCACTGTGCGAAATTCATTTCTTGATTCTCGCACGGTGCAGTTTTAGAAGAAATATCGCACCGTGCGTCAGCGGCAAATCGCGCAGTGCAAAGATTTTTGAGTCGGCAACTAGATGCGCCAAAATTTTCTTGCATTGTGCAGACGTAAGTTTTGACCATTGCACAGTGCAGTTTTATTTCCGCACCGTGCAATTTCCCAAACTCGTTAGACTGCACAGTGCGGTCATTTCTCTTCGCCACCATGAAAAATCCACCGAAAAGCACTTGCAACACGTTTATCTTCTATATCATCGCCTGAGACGGCGTTAGCCCCCTTCAATGTCTGCATTTTTTGTTTCTATTTATCAGTGGCAATCGAAAGGCGATCGGACTTGCGGTTTTAATGGGCAATGTTTTGATTCGGACGTTTTCCGTGAAAGCAATTTCTTCAGTCGCTTCATCAAGCCTTCAAAAACAACTGATCAATTTCATTGGACCTACTGTAGTTTGAATTACTTCAATTGGGTTTGGCGATAGGGTTTGCTTGCGTGGGCTGGGACAGTAACTATTAGTAGTCAAACAGGAAGATAAGGAAGTAAAGTTTTTCCACATTTATTGTTGTAGATGACTTTCTGTAACATTTATGTAGGCCTAGAGAATTTTTTTTGACTGCACAACGCGTAAACTAACAATTATGTTTTTGCACTGTGCAAGCTCAAAAAAACTAATTTTTTTGAAGGTAAGGCAACTTTTTTTAGTCCGTCTGAAAATTTTACACCGTATTTTACAATTTTATCATCTTTTCTTATACAAATCACATGTTTCTAAACTTTGCACGGTGCAAAAAACAATTTTTAAAAATTGCACTGTGCGAAAGAAATAGTTAAATTTTCCTGCACAGTGCCGTAGAAAAATCGCAAAAAAATTTTTTGAATATCTCAGGTCTAATTCAGTCGCCTCCTACTTCAGCTTTATCCTTTTCTTTTTTTCAGCAGCACTACGCTGAAAAAATAAAAGATTTTTTGCACCGTGCAATTTTCGGAACTCGGTTTTCTGCACCGTGCAGTACAAAAAAAAAGAAAAAAATTAAGCCTTTACGACATTCTTCTAGCATAATCGGTAATATTAGTTTGTCTATCCGTTTCAGTCGCACTATGTAAAGATCTAAAAGATCTTCCGCACAGCGCGCCTCTTCAAAATCAAATTTCCTCTCTTTCCAAAAAAAAAAATTTGCGAAAATATTAATATCAGTTCATATTTTGACCTACCCTCAAAACGTTCCCACTTCCGAAACTCCGCCACTCACGTCATTCCACCCTCTATTAGCATTTATATTATCCATGGACACAAGCTCCGAAAATTCGCAAAACTTTTTCGTGTTTAGCCAATAATCCCGCTCCGAAATATTAAACAAAATCATCGAGAGTGATCGGGAGTTGAGGGTGGAGTGAGGGTGGCCCCCCTGTTCCAAGCGGGGCCGCTGAAACGCGGCCGGCCCTTGCCCGATCAACCACAATAAACCTTGCCTTTCTTTCGCCTTTCCGTTTTTTTGTTTAATCCGAGCAGCGAAAAAAGAGAACGGCAATATCAGTTTAAGTGGGAATAAGGCTACTCCTTTTCTCTTCGTTTTATGCGAAAAAAAAGTTTTTATTCCAAAGACTTTTCGGCTCGAGAATTTTTTCCGGCTTTTCGTGGATTTCGATGGGGTCCAAGGGTCAGGGAGGTCAGAGGTGCTCTGAAATTGTTTGTAAGGCTGTAGCAATTAATTTAGCGACATTTTCGAGGCTAATTTTAATGCTTTAATCTAGGCAATATGCGCTGGATTTAATCCTAATTTTTGTACCGTGCAAGGTAAAGACTTGAATTTTTTTGATGGCTATGGAGATTTTAGCATCCTAGACAATTGTAATGTTCTACTTTACCTCCATTTTCATTTCTTCTTGCATGAAGATTGACATTTTTATTCAGTTTTGATTCAGTGGCATTGTACTCCAGACTACAGAACGGATACCGTATTTTACAACTAGTCATTGCATCAGAACAAAAAACTGTATAAATACTTCTTTCTGCGGAAAAGTTAATTTAATTTTTGGACCGTGCACGATTAAAAATTGACTTTTTCGCACAGTGTAGCAATCTTTATATAAGAGCGAAGGAATAAGAATTTTTTCTCGAGCTCGAGAATGTTTGCTGGATTCGCTACCAATTTCAAAAAGTAGCGGAAACCTCAATTTGCAACCTCCAAAAAACGCGTCGGAAGCAAATCGGCCATTTTGCGACGGCGCAAAATTGGGAGGTAGCAAATCGGCCATTTTGCGACGGCGCAAAATTGGGAGGTAGCAAATCCATCGATTTGCGACGTCCCAAAATAAGCCCCGCCCCCTCAGTTTTTCAGCCATCACGTTTTGGCTTTTTTGACGGAAAAACACCGTTTATGGTGAAAAACTTAGCTGATAAACAATACATTTACAAATCATGAATAAAAAAACGTCCCTTTTCATCGTTATCATATTTATTAATAAAAGACGTACATTTACATGTAAAATATGCGGTTTTTCCACAATATTGTCCAAATACGGCCGGAGAGTCGATGGATGGCGCTGAAGAACATTTGTTTTTTCCACAATATTGCCCAGAAATGTCCGAAAAGTCGATGGATGGGGCTGAAGAACATGGCCGCTTACTGATCTTCCTGGAAATCAAAAGTAATATAAAATTTCCTTCTGATTAGAAAAAAAGCTTTCTGTTACCTCATAGTTCATGTGTCTAATCCAAGCATTGAAATCGACATAATGTTGAGCAAAAATACGGCCGCCTGAAGTAAAACCGAATTTCAGACAACAATTTATTACCTAAAAACAAAATAATAATACTTTAATCCAATCTTACCTCCGTTGGCAACTACCATACGGCTTTTCCTTTGTTCGATTAATTGTTTCTGCCTCCTGAAAACGATTTATACATGAATAACATAAAACATTTGGAATCTCGTCTAAAACCAAAAAAGTAATATCAAAACAGCTTACCATGCTGTCAAAAAGCCTGGGTTGCCCGCCAGTTTCGTCCTCGATGTTTATAGTGATCTTCTCGTCGGTTTATCTTCAAATTCAGCTTCTTTTCTCAATCCATTTGGCCGATTTAAACAAAACATAAGAAAAGAAAATAATAGAATGTATAAAGTGGCGAATGTTTTCGCGGCGGAACGTGAAAAGAAATGCCACGCAGTCTACGAGTGTTTTTTTAGGCACAATTTTCGTGGCATTTTTATTTTTAGAAGATGTTTTACTCGATTTGAGGGCCGAATTGCTGTTTGGACATTTATGTAAGTTTCGTTCTTTGTATTTTATTGTTTTAGTAGAATCTCTTCGGCCTTATCCATGAAAGAGACTGCGTCTTTTGGCCAAATTTTGAGGTGTGGATGCATTTCCGAACCGTTTGAAAGATGGTGGCGACCACATTAGAATAGGTGTGTCCTTCGTGGGTTTTCCAGATGGTAAGCAGGTTGTTCATTTGTTTTCACTTCTTTAGGCGAACGGTTGAACGATGCGTAGATCAAAAAACGAAATTGGACGATGTGTATTGACCCCAAAAAGGCTGTAATTCGTGGGTCTTCAAGGTGGTAAGTACATTATTTATTCATTTTTATTGCTTTAGGCGAAAGAAGCGAAGATCCACCAACCATGAACACTGCGATCTTTCGCTTATGCCGCTGAACGCCCCACTAAACGTCCAAGTCCCTTGTCCATGTCTTCACAAGGACCTGAGGACCGTCTACAACACCACCATTTCAAGGCCGTATCTCTTTTTTACATTCCTTTGCCATATTAATATATCTGTTTAAAGCAATTATTGGTCATTCCAATAGGTAATTATACGTTATTAATTCTCTGTGCGCTTCCAAGAGGCAGTATTTTTTCTATTATTAGTTGTCAATTAGTAGCCTGAACTATTTTATATCAATTTAAATGTAAAATTTTTCGATTCTCTCTTTATTGCCTTGTTATTTTGTCGGATTATGTGCTTTAATAAATGGTTATTGTCAAGAAAAACATCGGAAATTCCAAAAGTGCTTTATTCACTAGCAATATATAAAAACGGTAAAAAGGAGCGCTGGAAAAAAATTCCGCCGGAGTGGGCGGAGTCAATTTGGGAGGTCGCAAATCCACGGATTTGCTACCTTCCAATTCCGCGCCGTCGCAAAAACGCCGTTTTGCTACCTCCTCTCTTGCGGAGGTAGCGAAAACGCCGATTCGCGACCGACTTTTTTCGGAGGTCGCGAAAAGAAGGATTCGCTACCGAGACCACGTCGCAAATCGATCATTTCGCTACTTTTTGAAATTGGTAGCGAATCCAGCAAACATTCTCAAGCTCGAGAAAAAATTCTTATTCCTTCGCTCTTATATAACATTTTATTTGTATTTATATATGACCGTGCGTACTTTGTCCCCTCTTATGCTTAGGCTCCACGACTAATTAAATTATCCAATTTTTTGGGTTTCACTGTCCGAAATCCAAAGATTTCTTTTTATCGCACGGCGCATGAAAATATATGCGACTCCTAAGTCTTGCTGGACAGCATATTTGAAAATCACGAAAAAGTCTTTTTGTACAAAAAAAAACAAATTTATTTTTTCCCGCACTGTGCAAAAGTCATTTTCCTTTCTTTGCATAGTGCACTCAAAGAATCAATTTTTTTGCACTGTGCACAGAATTTTGTTGTTCTATGAACAGAAGTTGCTCGTATTTTACCATTGTGCATATGAAAACACATGTGATGTAAAAAAATTTTCGCGATTTTTCCGAGTCCTTCGATTTTTTTCAAAAACCCAAATGTTAATTTTCTTTTTCAGAAGCTTCCAAGCTTTGGCCAAAGTCAATTGGCCATTTGTTCCACTCATCTTGAGGCCCACCCTCCAAGGTCCCTCCTTGCCCAACTTTGCCAGATTTTAAATTCAAATTCAAATTTCCCGCCAAAAATTTGAATTCAATTTTCCCCGCTAAAACGTTATGAATTTTTCGACAATGGCGCAATTCGGCTTCAAGGAATCCGAATTATTCGCCGCTTTTGCCAAATTCGCCAATCCTGCCTCGGGCGATGAGAATCAAGAGACCTTTTCGCGGTCTCTCTCTCCCGAGCTGCGCCCGGAGGATTTGAAAATGGAGATGGACGAGAATGAAAATTGCAATAATGAAATGAAATTTGACGACAATTTGACTGCCGAGCTCTTCAAAAGTGTTGGTCAAGTGGATGGGAGCAGCACGCCGGGGAAAAGCAATGGGTACCGAGCGGAGTTGAAGCGGCCTGATCTGAAAGGTACGTGAAAATATAAGAATTTTGGAAAGAACATGTTGTCTAGCTCGTATTTTACATTATTAAAAACCAAAAATTTTAAAAGCAAAAAAAATAAAATTTTTAGAGAAATTTTTTATGACAAAAAAATTTATTCACGATAAAATACGATGAGTTCATCAAATAAATTATGAAAAAATTATTTAAATATCTTCTTCAGGTCAATTCCGATGCACAATTTGCAACAAAGTTTTCTGCCACTCATCTTCGTTGAGCCGCCACCGAATGCAGGCTCATTTCAAGAGTTACACTTGCACTTTGTGCTCCAAGGAAATCACAAGTCAGTTTGAATTTTTTAAGGAATCCGAAAATGCGTTTTGAGAGTTTTTGGTTTCACTGTGGAATGAGAAAAATTAAATTTTATTTATAAAAAGACTAAAAAAATTGAAACGAAAATTTAATTTTTTTTTTTTTTTGAGATTTTGAAAGATATTTTTCACCAAGGTAAATTCAGAATTTTTCTTTCCGAAACAAAAAAAACATGTTTTTGCCTCAAGCAATTTTCAAAAAAGAACCCACAAAAATCAAAAAAAAATTGAAAATCCTAAAAAACCAGTCTAAAAGTTAAAGTTTCTTTTCGACCAGATAAATATTGTAAATCCATTTACAATACTTTCAACGCGACAAATTTTTTTTGCGAAACAGATTCGAACGCAGGCACCGTTTCTAAACCGATTGGTTCAAAGAACGGATGAAAATGCCTATCCAGATATCGCTTTTTGGCTTTGGTTGAAACGAGCTGGACTAGATTTCTTTCAATTTTTCACTTTTTAATCCCACTGTAGATCCACAAAAGGATATATGGATATATAAAAGGAAGGGCAAAAGTTGATCAAAAGAATTTTTTTGGTTTATTAAAATACGACAAAAATTTTCCTTAATATACTCCATTCGTACTTTACACTTTTTTCAATTTTTTCCAGTACTGTGCGAAAAAAAAGTTTTTGAATTGCGCTGTGCAGTTATTTTTTTAGTTTTTTTGCACTGTGCGAAAAGTTGGATGAAAAGTTTAGGTGTGGATACGCTTATTGCGTCGTATGTCATTCGTCAAATTCGAATTTTTCTAAAAAATTATCATACAATATGCGAAAAAATCAATATTTTCGAATTGTGCGGATTTTTTTCTCATTTTATTTATAACCGCGTTAAAATCCAGCGTATTTTAAAAAAAACTGTGCAGTCAAAAAAAAGTTTTGATTTCAGGTAGCAAAAATAACATTAAGTCTACACAAGTTTTCATTGGCGTATTTTACACTACCTCTTTTCCTAATACTTACAATTTTTACCGAAAAATTATTTGCACAGTGCAAAAAATATGTCTTATTTTCCACGTCCGCCAAAACAAACGTTGCAAATTTCACGTTCTCTTTTATCCGTTATTAACAACTTCATGTCTCTGTTTTCCTTCCAATATCGTCTCCGTTGGCCCAATTTATGTTTAAAATACATTTGATCCCTCCAAAAAAAGGGTGCCGAAAACAGGCGGCTTTGCATAGTACTGCGCAGAGTCATCTTTCGTAAACATAATTTATCATAGACATTTGCAATCTGGGATGTTGGCAATTATCGAGTAATTGAATTACTCGTTTCTGGAGCATGTCGACAAAGTTCATGGCATTTCACATAGACGGATTAATTGATCTGCCCTGAAAGCAGTAGGCGGAAGTTTCTAAATTGGCACGTATTTGAAAATTGAGATGGGCTCAAGTCGGTGATATTGGTATATGAAGTCATAAAATGAACGAACGGAACTTGTAATGGGAGTATGGTAGCTAAAAATACAGCTGTAGGCTGCTTGGTTTTGATCAAGTTTAGCGTTGTTTTCGGTTTGGGTTGCAATTTTCAGCTGGCTTCATGCAAGAGTGATTGGGATTTTTAGCAAAAAAAACTACAGGATCCGAGGGTTTTTTGTTGAAGTTTCACCTTTTACTTTGACTTCGTCATGTTTCAAACATCAGTCTGTCGGGAAAATAGTGAGCGTTATGTTGCATCAAAAATCGCATCGCCGCCGAGAACATGAATTGTGTCGCAATAAAATCAAATTACTTTTCACTTCAGCGACACCATTGCAGCGACATTGCGCTTATTCCTTTCCCGACAAACTGATAGCCGTGCCTCTGAAAAGATCGTTGAATATCTTAGCTGTGTCTGCAAAGAATAGATGAAAAATCTCAACTATCAATCCAGACGCTAGATAGATCACGCGTGGCAAATTTGAAGAAAATCTGGGCGTCAAGTCTTGAGCATTTCCCTTCCCCTCCCTGATGACGATAGTAGCATGTATTATAGACCCCGGCTGCAAAAATTGTTGAATATCTCAGCTGTCTCTGCAATGGGCAAATTAAAACCTTCGAGAATTTGAGCATCATCTAGCCAGATCATGCGTGCAAAATTTCAAAAAAATCTATAAACCCTCAGGGCATCAAAAAACAGTTTTCTCCCAAAAGCCCGACTTCTTGCTTGCTATCCAAATTTTGGTCTCAAATTCGTCAATGACTTTTCAAACACCTCCCGAAATTTAATCAATCACCATCTACGGCCCAACTCATTGCGGAACCTCATTACCGTTTGTGAACGCAAGACCAGTTTTGCTAAAAATTATTAGTAATTAGCCGCTGCAAGACAATATTATTCATCGATGTTTGGGGGCCGGATGTGAGAACGCAAATGCTCAACGCATGCAACCCCCGACTGGAACATTTCTGCGAGTCCGAATCGCCGGGTGGTCCACTTTTTGCCCGCAGGGCATTTAGGTATTTTGGGGAATTTTGCAAAAAACGAAAAAAGTTTTTCGACATTTTTTCCCGTAGTCTAAAAATTTAAATGTAATCGAGGGTTCTGTTTCAACGAAATCGTTTTTTCCAGCAGTTATGCCCTGAGGGCGGGCGGTGCGTGCCAAAAAACGTCTCCCAAAAATTTCGGATTTCGACCCTCAAGCAAAAAGGTGGGCCCGGAGTGTATTTAAGGGTGGAACGAAGAGAAAATTTGCGGATTGGGAATTTATTAGGGCTAGAGGGATACGGTAATTTTGTTGCTTTGACAATACTGGAATACGATAGTTTGGAGGGAGAAAAATACAGTAATCCATCTAATCCCTGAAATTTTTTTGACGTAAATGGCTCACAACATCTTTATTGCGCCTTGTTGTAGCATAAAATGTCATTCTGTCTTACTGTGACATCTTGAACTTAGAGAAAATCACTTTTCAAAGAAATGTTGGGTTACTGTAGCATTAGCAGTGAAAATTGCGCATTTCGGCACTTATTTTTTTAGGTAATGGTCTGTCTTAGCACTTGGGAACACCAAGAAGTCATCTGGAATACTTTTTCACTCTTATTGCCTACTGTAACCCATCGAATAAGCAAAAAATTGGAAAAAATGGGCATTTCATACGGTATTTTAGATTTAGAAGGTCTAATAACAACTTTTTTATTACAATTAATTTTCCTACTGCAGTCTGAACTCTTCACTGGCTCGCATATTACTGAACACACCTATTTTCTCGTAATCCCGCCTGTACTTCCCTCAAATCCCTAAAAATCACTTTTTTGCCCAAAAAATCCCTAAAATCCCAAATTTACGACCCATAAAATCTCGGAAAAAGTTCTAAAATCCCTCTTAACACCTTCGACTAGCCCCTGGCTATTTTCTGGCTCCCGATTTTTATTGATCTTCATCAGTATTTGTGTAAAAGACATTCTGAAAAGGGGCCTGTTTACTCAGTGAATAAATTCAATAAAAATTTTGGGATCGGTCATCTTTGGGGATTTTAGGACGAAAATTTTAGTGGCAGTGGTCAGTTAGGGTCGGAGTATTCGGGAATTTGATTTTTTCAAATATTTTTTTGAGTTAAGATTCGAAATTTTATTCTTTGTTTTTATTTTAATTTTATTTTTCTAGTTTCCTGAAAAATCTATTATTTTGACTTGTGACCCCTCATGGAAATTTTACAATTAAAAAAAATTTTATTTGTAAAATACGGAATCTTAAAATTATATTTTTTCGCATTTTAGGCCAAAAAATTTTGATTTTTAGTTGATTCGACATCTAAAACCTTGTTATTTATTTTTCTCCATTTTACCATTATTCCGAAATTTAAAAGGCGTATTTTACATAGGCATGGCTCCGGGCCGGGCTTTCCAAAATTTTCCGGCCCGGGCCGGGCCGACTAATTTCTCGGCCCGACCCCGGGCTTCGATTTTCAGGCCCGGCCCGGCCCGGGCCGGCCCGGTTTTTTTGAAATCTGACTTTTGCCCGGAAAAAGAGAGAAAAAATAAGCTTTTTCGATAGAATTTTTCATTTTTTCGAACACAATGCTGATAGCGAACGTAAAGTGACCTTATTTACCACTCGCCCAAATAAAAAAAATAATTTTCAAGTCAATTTGAAAAAAGTTTCGGAAATTCTAAAGTGCGACCTCATAGTTAATACGCTGGCATAAAGAGAAAAAGGAAAATTTTTCAAAAATACGCAATACGCTTGTAGGTTTTTTCAAATCCGATAAAAGATCTGTGATAAAATATTTTTGCTAAAATTTGGGTGACTATACACAAAATTTTATGATTTTTTGTAACCATATGGTAAAACAATTTATGGCGACTTAGTAATTTATAAAATAGTCAAGCGGCAATTGCACTATGTATAGGTTTTGCTAAATTATTCTTTACATTTTGCGAAAATGTGCCATAATTTTCCCTTCATTTCCTGTTTTGTTTCTTTCCAGCCTAGTACAAAATTTTTCCGGGCCGAACCGGGCCGGGCTTTCCAAATTTTCCAAGCCCGGGCCCGGTTTGCAGCCATGCTTAATTTTACAAGTAAAAACCTCATTTTTCCTTTACTTATCATTTTCGCACTGTGCATTCGCTCCTCTTTCCTTCCCAAAGAGAAACGGCTCCTTTGAAGAGCTGTGTTTTTATAGCGCAGTCGGTTGATCGTCGGCCTTCCAATCGAAAGGCCGAGGGTTCGGGTCCGGCTGGACACAATGAAGAATACAAGTATTCAGTCTGTCAATCCCATGAATGAACAGTGATCTAAAACGTCATACTCTGAGTGTTTTTGCAATTTTTGTGCTAAAAATATTTTTAACGTAATTTTCCTACGTATTTTACAAATTTTGATTAGAGTTTTATAGCAATAAACACTTTTTTCAGCGAATTTCAATTGTAGAACATGCTCAATGTTAAAGAAAATGAACAAAATTGCAGCAGATGGGAATCCCCCATCCTAACCGATCCAATCTCCTATCCTAACCGCAATTTTGATCTATTGCTCTTATTACCGCCCCCATCGATGAAAAGTGCAATTCCGCTATAATAAATTTTGAAACATCCGTTCAAAACATAGCTTAGGATTCCAAGAAGTTTTTCCGACCAAACATTAACATGCTTTTTCCATTTTTTAGCTGCTATTTGGGTTATGGTAGCTACCGTAACCTTGCTCGAAAAATGTCATCATTACAGTTGGAAAAAAAGTTCGCGCGGAAATTGAGATATTATTTGAGAGTAAGAAATCAAATCACCTATTTTTTGGAAAAAAATTTAATCGCGATTTTTGAAAAAAAAAATAATTTTTTTTATTTTTTGGGCTGAAACTTACAGTAATCTAAAAAATAATTTTTACTACACCCAACACTCGTATATATACCGGCAAAATCGTCAAAAACAAATTTACACAAAAAAAATTTTTGCCTAAAGTAATATAATTGATGAGAGTCCGTTCGCGGCGAGAAAGGAACGGCTCCCCGAAACGGGAACAGTCGTTTTTTCGGCGGTTTATTGGAACAACCATCCATCAATTGCACAAATACCTAACGAATTTCTGATGCTTGTCGTGGTGAAAAAAACGTGCGGGGGGTCAGCGGAGTGATAATGATAACGAATCGAATTGGATTGGCGTTTAGGGAAACGGGGATTTTGACGCATTTTTTCAACGTCAGCCGTTTTTTGCGGGATTTGATGAGGTGTTACGGTAGCTGGGGGTGGTACAGTCGTCTGCAAGCGTTCGTTATATCTATGCGTAGACAAAAATATAGTTAAAAAGCTAGTTAAAAATCGTTGAAAACCAAAAAAATTTACGAAAATTATGTTTTGATGACTAATCAAAAATAGTGAATTTCTCCAAGGATAATTTTCCAATTGTCTTAAAAATTTGGCACACATGCTATAATTTAGCCATAGATTAAGTGCTGAGAATCATAGGCCTTCCGTTAAAAGTGCCGCTGAAATATTCAACGATCATTATACAAAGGATTTTTTTTGGCTCTCAGAAGTTTTGACTCAAAAATTTTGGTCTCTTCTGCAAAGCGCGGGCTAAAAATTTCTTCAATGCCTTATAAGACCATAGTCTTTATCTATGCCAAGTTGCATCAAAATCGTTGCATCGACCGTTGAGAAATTTGCATTTTTCTCTCAAAAACCCCGAATTTCCCTCCATTTTCATCGATTTTCCACAATTTTCCCAAGTTTAACCCCATTTTTTATGACCTTTAACATCTCCCACAGAAATATTACACTTCGTCATCTGGTACGGTCTCCAACAACCGCAATTTCCATGTATTCCCGGCTTCATCGACCTTCCATTTTCGGAATTAGTGGAACTTTTTTCAGTGCAATTCGTCTTTTCCTTTCTTTTCCCCATTATTGACACTGCATTGATTGATGCTCCTCATCAAATTTATTGTTTACATTTTTCCTGATTTGGGTTTTTTTTCGAATTCAGGGCTGTTTGAAGAGAGAGTGAGTGGTGTTTGAAGAGGGTAGCAAAGAAAAAAATTTGAAAAATTTTTAGAAAACTGAGGGGAAATCGCTAAAAAATGCGCAAACGTGATCATACAATTCAAAATCATATTTTTTTTACCTTGTGGGGTTACAGTAATATCAAAAATATATCTTTTCTTCGAAAAAAATTTTTTTTTTTGAAATTAAAAAACATCTTTTATTAGAAGCTACAGTACTCTTTTCCAAACCGGAATCCCAATTTTTCCTCGAAAAAATCCAATTTTTCGCTTAATAATCCATCATTTTTCGCTATAAGCAACACCCCAAAAACCAACCTCTCATTCATGCTGACAAAAATTTAGAAAAAAAAATTCTCCGCGGCGCCTTGGTGTCTGAATCGCACCCTCAGAAGTTTTTTTTCCGATTTTTTTATTTTCAATTCTCAGAATCGAAAAATAAAAAATCCGCGGAGCCAATCAGGAAACTCGCAAAATTTCGCTATTTCTCTCTCAATTTTTTCGGTTTTGATTGATCGGCGTACGGTACGTTAAGTGATAAGAGCGATAACCGAATTGGAAATGAATTGGGAATTGATTTTTGCACTGCAAAAAACACTTGAAAGGTTTTGTGACCCAAAAACACCGCGAAACTCGGGTTTCAGCGATTGAAACAGGTGAGAAATGGTCAATGAAGGTGATAAGAGACAGGAAAAATTGAATTGAGCAATATTGCAGGGCGTATTTTAGATTTTTGTTCTAGAACTCGTGGATTTGTCATAAATTTCTGCTATTTAAAGAATTTTTTTTTGAAAAAAGTTATAATTTTTCGTATAAAATATCTGACGAATATTGAAAAAAAACTTATGCATTGCACCGATATCCGTATTTTACATTCTAAATATTGCCAAAATTAATAAATACATTTTTTTCAAAAGCTGTGATTTTTCGTATAAAATGTCTCAAAAAAAAAAAATAAAAAAATTCAACCTCAAACATTCGACAACATCAATTTTTTCGTACTTTACCTTATTTTGAAACTTTTTTATACTTCCATCGTCCAATAATCAAACTTTTTCTCCTGCACTGTGCGATAAAAAATTAATTTTTTTGCACTGTGCAAAAAAGAAAAAAATGTCGTAAAACGAATCCTGATGCAATATTTATGTCATTTTCCGCTCCTTTCCACAAAGATTCCTCTAAATCACAGCAAAATCCATCCGAAACATTGGAATTCCTCTCATTCCCACCACCCACAGACCCACCGTGGCAGTAAGCCATAAACTTGTCAAGTGCGGGTAAATAAAACAATTGAAACAAGTGCCTGAGGCGTTCGGTTTTTTATGATCGCAGACTTTTTTATCACTCTTTGATTGGAACGCTCATCCGCCGCGATTTTCCGTCGATGGGATCGGGAGCTCCACGAAAATATAAAACGAACGCCACTCGTTTCAGATCGGCTCGAATGGGGTGATAGCTTGATGTGCGGGTTATTAGGGTCGTTATTGGGATGTTTGCACTTTAAGATTGGATTTACAAGTTTCCATGACCTCTAGGGAAGATTGATTTTTTTGTTTTCTCAAAAGTTGAACAAAAGTTTTTCCAATTTAATTTTTCTTTTCAACTTAAAACTAATAAATTGTAAAATACGGCCTGGCTGCTTATCGAACCATTCTTGGCTGGTTCTCAGGCAAAATACACTGCATACCTCTAACTCATCGCTATTAAAAATTGTGGCGTCATCTTGTGCAAAGTGTTAATTTTGGAATTTTTGCCGTTCTTCTCAATGTTTGATCGTATTTTAAATTTTACTTTATGAATTGGGTAGCCATAGTGCTCACTGCGTCTTACTGTAAGATAGACAACCCCTCTTTTGCTTCGGTTTTCGATATACTTATAGTTTTATCGAGATTTAGGGATTCAAGGGTCTATTGTAATATAACCTCAATTACTATGGGAAAGTAATCTTTCTGTCCCATTTCTTGTCTTATTTCGACTTAAAAGTGAGCTACTGTAACTTATGTACTACTAGTCTACACCAACACTCGCGATATCCTCAAAATTTTGACTTTTTTCGAGATCTTATGGTCAAGTATAATATAACCCGGATTTCTAGTCCAATCTCTGTCATAATTTGATTTCGCCGGCTATCATCAAGTAGCCCACATTCTACTATATCTAAGCCAGCCATATTCAGCTGACCATGGCATTGGTTGATATCGCTACGCCCTTATCTTCCCCGGAACGCCGTAAAAAGAAGCCTTACAAAGAATTGACCCTCGCAGAAAAGGTGGAGCTCATTCGTCTGGCCGAAAACAACTCCAACTTGTCGCAAGCGTCGATTGCCGAGTTGTATGAGATCGCCAAGTCGAATGTCTGCCGAATTTTACAGCGAAAAACGGAGTATCTTCGGGCTTTTGAGAGTGCGAAATTTGCGGGCTCAAGGAAGCGCAAATTACGCAATTGGCTTGATGAAAATGAGCCAATAAAGGCCAAGAAGTCGACTTGCAGCGAGCCAGCGGATGCCTATGGCCTTGGTAAATAATATATCAAAATTTCAAAAATTCGAAAAGTTACAAAAATCGGATCTCAAAATTTTCAAAAAATCTCATTTCACAGTGAACACAGAAACCAAAAAAACATGAAAAACTACTGTCTACTGTTGCATGATGAATTTCAATTTCAGGTAATGAGACATTGCGCGCCCATATGCTGAAACAACATCAAATCTCGCGAATGTTTATGTGCCGCTGCTGCAATTGGGCGTTCCCTGACAAAACCTCATTACACATGCATATGCAGGTGAGTAATGGGAGAAAGTAATGACCATCATGGGTCGTTACGACCACTTACAAACTATGAGATTAGTTGCATAGTGATTACGAAAATCTGGGGGAGTCTTGGACCTTGTTTCAGGGATCAAATTCGATTTTAAAATTTTGGAAGATTACTGTAACAAAAATATTGACAAACTGTGTTTTAGATGTTAGAGGACATAGATGGTCAACCTTGATCAAAAAATCCCATTAAAACCCACGTTTTTATCTAGTATTAGCCAAGGAACATATCATCGTATAACATGTCCAAATTGAGTTAAAGTCCAAAATCCTTTCGGCAAAAGTTTGAATACCTCCTAAAAATCTATTTAAACACGTTCTCGAATAAAAATCATCTAAGAATCAATCCAAAAATCTCATTTTTCAGGGAAAATCCGAAGGAGCCAGTAAATCTCTAAATGTCCCAGTGATTGGCAAAGGGATTCCTCCAATTTCGTCTCCACCAACGCAGCCACTCAACTTCAGCAATGACGAACTTTTCAATAATGTTCTGGCCGCACAGTTGAACAACCCACAATTGCGCAACGCTTTTCCGGCTCTGAATCCAATGAATTTGGCCGGAATGGGGCTGAATCCAACTGTTTCGACCAGTTTTGCTAGCTGTAAGTTGATCTCGTGACATTTCTAAAGAACTCGGAGATTTTTGATTTTTGGATTTTGCACTGTGCGGTAAAACATGTTCTTTTTTGTTCGCACTGTGCGCCGGTTTGAAACTTTTGCAGTGTGCGGCAGCAATCAGTATGGTTTGCACTGTGAAAAGTCGATTTTTTCCGTATGGTTTGGAAAATTAGTAACCTTTCGGCAACACGGTGCAAAAACAAAAATTTGCACGGTGCAGACAAAAACTGACCGCACCGTGCAAAGTCTGACCTCAAGATTTTCTTATCATATCTCACGTAAAGGTTCATAACAAATACATCCAACCAAATACGTAACAACCAGCAATTTTTCCCTATCCTTTTACGAGAATTTTATCCATGTCGTCAGGCATTACAAAATTCTAAATTTACTCCCGGAAAATATCCTTCGAAAAAATGACCACCCAATGTGTCGGAGAGCGGAAAAAAAATTCCTCATAGCATGTTTAAATGGAACCCCAACGTGCTTCCGACATTAAATTTACCGCTTTTTATCCCACAATTGTCACGAAACAAGTGTTTTTAGTAGTATTGTAAAACGTTGGTAAAAAAGACGAAAAACTAGTGTAAAGGAAGCCCTGAGATGGCATTTGGGAGTAAAAAACGATCTACACACTTCAAATTAATTTTTTTAATTCTAAATTTTGGAACAGTACGATTATTTGTTTGCACAGTGCAAAAAGTTTCCAAAAATTTTTTTATTAGTATCTCAGAATATTCAAAAAATATTTATTTCAGCAGTTATCAAGCCCGGAATCACCTCCCCACTTACTCCCAGTAGCACTGCCTCGGGCGCGAGCTGCGAAAACCCTCAAAGCAGTCTCTTCCCACAGCTCTCCATGATGCCCAGAGATAACGCAGATTTGTTCTCCAAATTGAGAGATAGATTGTTCTTGAACAATCTCTGGCTGCCCGGAGGCAATTTGATGAATATGGCTCAGTTTGCCGCTCATAACACAACTGAAGGAACAGAGGGAAATTCAGAGGAGAATGGTGAGTTGAGAGGACAAAAAATCGATTCCGTCTGTCGTCATCATTTTCCCGCCAAAAAATATTCAAAATTTTCGAGAAATTGAAAAAAGAAACCGTTTTTACACCTATTTTTTCAGTATTCAACATCTTTTCCAACCCGAACGTTTTTGCCACCCAGCCCGACCAAATGGCTGCCAAAGCTCTCTCCACATCGCAGCAACAGGCCTTACAAACCCTGATGCAACAATTCATGCAAAAATCAGAAAAGCCGGATGTAAATGACAGCAATAACAATGATACCAACAATAATGTGGATAATGAGAAAGATGTCGAGGTCAAAGTCGAGTCAGAACCCGAGGAACCGGCGGCTCCCAGTCTGGTAAGTTCTGTGCTTTTTTTTGGCTGCAGATTCGCAGCTTTGCACTACAAAAAATGGACTAGTCTTATATCGAAAACTAAAAAATCCGTTTCAGGAGATCCAAGAAGACCACTCGTCCCATCAGCCCTTCTCTGCCGGTGCCAGCCCCACCAATTCAAACAGCAGCGCCTCGCCGAGCAACAACTCGTCTTGCTTCGACTGCCAAGTGGCCAAGACCAAACTCATGGAGCTGTCCTTGGAAATCCAGAAAATCCGTCAGCAAAAGACTCAGGCCGACCAAGAGCTGAGCGAGAAAAACGAGGCCTTGGCGCGACGACTGACCGAGATTCGGGCGCGACTCGCGAAATTCATGGAAGAGCCGGAAGCCGCGAATAATTCGGATTTTGTCCGTGAAATCATGAGGTTCACCATGCTACAATAAATGTTTTAGTATTTTAGTGCGGTCTTAGACGTCTTTCAACAGCATTTCCTCTAGTTTGGCATACTGTAATTTGAAATTTGAACCTTTTTTGGAGTTGTGAAATGCTGCAAAACTTTGCACATTTTCAAAAAATTTTTTTCTCCAAAATTTTTTGAATTGCAAAATTAAAAAAAAATCCCATTTCCGCCCATTTTACATTTTCTCCATCTTCTATCACCCATTACTTTTATTTCTAATCTTAAAATTACTTTTACCACTCTTCATTCCCATTTTGGCACGGCATTACCACTTATTCAAATTAATTTATCCAATTTTTATCTAATTTTTGCCGGTTTTTTCATGTTCACATTTCAAGAATCCATCCTTTACAATAATATCTTCACCCCACATATTACCCCCAACGTGCAATCCCGCAGTTTTGTACAATTGTAACTTTAAAAATGTCGATAATAACTCTTTTGTTTTGTAACGGTTGTCTAGAAAAGTAATAAACGTTTTGACAATAAGAAAGCCTAATTTTGATTACTAAAAAGCAAAGTTACAGCTCGATAAAAACCTAAGATTAATATAATTATGTAAAACGTCCAAAATAATCACGGACTGAATCATCAGAGCTTGACGCATTCAAAAATTAGAGACCTTTGGCTCAATGGAAAAGGTGAGAATGTGGGGTCTTATTAATTTTGTCCTATTCTCATTAATTTATGCAAGTTATGCGTCCTGTCCGGACAACTTTCGTCAATGTCCGCATGTGGACATGTGCGCACAGTTGAGCTTGGATTCGTTGGGTGAGTTTTTTGCGCTCTTCTGAAACCCAAACGGGGAATTTTTTCCCAAAACTGCCGAGATGTTTTGATCATAAATTGAAAACAATCAACCCCTGTAGAAATTTTAATTCACAATTACTACACTCCGTTACGAAAGTATACCTACCCCATTGAAAATTGCAATATCTAAAGTTTGGTGAGAGATATCGAAAAACTGCTAATGCCATTCGAAAGAGCATGTCTTAAAACCTATTACCACAAGGAATCAGCCCGTGGAAAAAATTTTGATCGGTTTGGCAACCATTTTAATATTTTTTGCCGTTTCAAAAGTATACCTACCCCTGACGGTTTTTTGGCCAATCTGGCTCGGATTTTGAATTAACTTGCCCCGATTTCTTTCCATCGTGTACCCTATGGTATTAGGAAGTGTATTAAATTCATTTCAATTGCACTTTACCCACGTAGTGCTTTTGCGAGCCATCTCTGACCTTGTACATGAGGTTAATCTTAATTTCAAAAAATTTCTTGACTAGGCTGCTTTCTTGGCAGAAAAACTACATTACCTGTTAAATTTTGCACATATAGCTCACTATGAGAGAATAAAACAGCTTACTGAAAGTTTTCAAGTATTTTCTCATCATATCATCTACAACAAGCAGCTACCGTAACACTTTAGGCTCTAAAATACCAAGACGAATGGACGCAAATCATAAAATTTGATACGCGAATTCAGACTCAGCATGTCAGAAAACATATCTCTTTAATTAGACGCCCATACAGAGCAGGCCCCAGCCCCGTAGAGTTCGTTCTTCAAAAACTTCCGAAAAACATGCAAAAATACACTAGGTTTTGCAAATGCATTTTTGAACCGAGTGTCTGCAACAGATATCACACTTCTGAAACTAGTGGAGTATAAATATAGGTTTACGGATATGCTGAGTTTGATTTTCCGGACAAAATTTTGCAATCGATACTAATTTTTTGTGTTTCTAGGGTCTGTGAAGGTTACTGTAGGAAGTATACGGTAATTTATCTCTTATGTAGATGGCTGTACATGATATTGTATTGATTTGGTTTACGTATTACCTTCGATAAGAGTTGTCTAGGTCATTTTTTTAGCGAAACAAAGACATTCATGTAGGGTTTTTTTGAAATTAAGACTAACCTCATGTACAAGGTCAGAGATGGCTCGCAAAAGCACTACGTGGGTAAAGTGCAATTGAAATGAATTTAATACACTTTCTAATACCATAGGGTACACGATGGAAAGAAATCGGGGCAAGTTAATTCAAAATCCGGGCCAGATTGGCCAAAAAACCGTCAGGGGTAGGTATACTTTTGAAACGGCCAAAAATATTAAAATGGTTGCCAAACCGATCAAAATTTTTTCCACGGGCTGATTCCATGTGTTTAGAGGTTTCAAGACATGCTCTTTCGAATGGCATTAGCAGTTTTTCGATATCTCTCACCAAACTTTAGATATTGCAATTTTCAATGGGGTAGGTATACTTTCGTAACGGAGTGTACGTATTAGGATTTTCATAAAGGGCACGGAGTTTCATGAAACGGAGAATTATCAGCAAACAGGTTTTCGTCTGGGCGGCGCTCCCAATTTCGCGTCCTCTCTCGCGAAATACCGTCAAATAAATTCACGGCTATATACTGAAAAGTCTTGTGGCTAGGTCAGAGGCTATTCGACAAACTTTTACAACCCCTCATTTGATAAACCTTAAATTTATTAAACACAATTTTTCGACACCACCTAAATTTCAGAGAACCTTCTGGACGAAACAGAACAATTTACATCGGAGTTCTCTCAAACTCACGAAGTTATCTGCAAATATTCAAACCTAACTGGCCCCCAATTGCGTCATCGCCGTTTGTTTCTTCCTTCCTTGATGTGTTCGTTGGTAAAGAACACTGGAGGAATACACAAGGTCAAATTCGCGCCTCACCGCTATGTTGCGGCGTTTGCCATTGTATTGTGTCAAGGATGGGAGAGGCAAGGATTACCGGAAATGCCGATTTTTGGTTTTTAGTCGACGAAAAATTACAACAACAACAGCAGGGCCAATGTTCAGAAGTTTGGATATGATGGAGGACCTTTGTGCAGATGAAGATCAATTACCGTACTGTGAGATGATCAGGTTCTTTTTCCTGCGTGACGACCCAAGGCGGCAAGGAGTCTGCGATGCGATGAAATTGGATAGAAGTGTTGACTGCCCAGTGACACAAGTCGACCCAAAAGACAGGTATATCGTGACCTTTAGAGAGCTAACCGTCGAGTTTAGATGTCTCAGCGAGAATCCATACGAATTTTCTTGGAACTTCCTTCGCTTTGCAGCCCTCGAAGAAAACGGCATGGAATTCTTCAAAACTTCTGTCGCCAACAAACCCGACGAATTTTTCGTTGAGTTCAATAATGCACTCAAGAATAACAGCTACTTCAACAACGTCTTCCATGAGCTCCGAGAAGTTCAAATCGTTCAAAGTCAGCTTTACCTTCACTTTATGATATCCTCCCTGATTTTGAATAATTTGGGAAAAGCGGCAAGGCAGGTGAGTTACCGTTAGTCCTGCCAAAACAACTAATGTTTGTAATCGCTACACGTCTTCGTTTAGACAGACAAATTGTTAAACGAATACTGCGAACATGGCTGTCACATAGAAGAAATGCATAACCATGAAAGCCAATGCGTTTCAAGTATCCTTCATCAACATACGGATGATCCAACACCTCCAAAGAGTCAGCATGCATACATGTAGGGTAAAATACGATGTATCCAGCTTTGAAAGATATAAAAATTTCACCGCTTTTTAGGAGGATAGAATGTAATGCGAGGAACCTCTATATACCCAGTCCATACACAATCGGCTACATTGATCTTCGGAATTTTGTTCGAACTGAAAACGTTCGATGTTTTATCATTTTCATGGCCAGCACATTTGGCATCTTCATGAACATTTATATGGTGAGAAAAGCGGTGGCAAAAAATTTCATATTCGGAGCTTTAGGTATTTCTAATTTTCCGCGGAAAAAACGGCCTCCAGCAGTTTGGAATCCGCTTGGTTTTTGTCTTCGCCTGCGCCAACCTATTGTATTTGACGATGAATTTGTACTTCATTCAGCAACAATTTTATCCGGTGTACAAGGAGAGAAGTAATGTCGACTTCTTCCGAATCACAAATTACACTCGCTATTACGATGAGACTTATTTGGCAGCAGTCTCAGCCTTGAGACTGACCTTGAATGATGTGAGTCTAGACCCAAGCATAGTTCAAGTCAAAACAAGGATGTATAAAATAGATACTACAAATCCTTTTCAGAGATATGGCGATGTGATTACCGGAAACTTCACACAGGACCTTCATGGCCTTCGTATTCTTGCGATTGCTGAGAATTTTTTAGTCAATTTCTCTCGATCCTTGGCGGCGATGGTTATGATTCTGATTGTTTGTTCTGTTTTCTACGAACTGCGGAGTGTAGGTTCCAATCATCCGGCTGTTCTAACGGTCTCTTCACATTTCTAGTCATTCTGCGGACGTCTTCGGCCTAAAGTAAAGTTGGCGTTCATTTTACTCATTTGGTTTTGCTGGCTGACAATGTTGGCCATGTACGTTTACATTGGAAGTTTGGAATACAACATGATTTATCATCTGAATGATGTAATGGGTGCTCGAGGAAATGATCAGGAGGCGATTAAACGACAGTAAGAAAGAATCTTTCTATAACAGCCTCCCCTCCAGATGCCGAAAGCTTCGGCAGGAAGAACACAAGAAAGATCAGCTGAAAGGCCATGCGTACTTTATGATTCTCTACTTCTTCGTCTCCGTTGTATCGCTAATTTCACTCTTCGCGTATCACAAGTACAAGGTTTCGCGGAGCAAAAACGGGATACCGCAACATCTTCAGGAGGAGATGCAAAAGTCCTGGAGAAGTTTGACAATCGCATCAATGATTTACATCTTGTCCAATTTTGGCACAACGTTCGTCGAAATCCGGAGTCTCATAAAGTTGCGGGATACCATAACGCAAGGTGACGTACAATCTATCGCAGAATTGTACCGATGGCTGTATCTGTTGTCGCTGATCGATCCAATCGTTCATCCCTGGATTCTGATTTACCGAATGAAGGTAGGGAAATACGAAACACGCTACAAAAAAGTTTTGTCCGACTTTTTAAACCTTGCAAATCCATTTCAGGCCCTCCGGGTTCTTCATTTTGATATTCAAAAAGAATTGACAAGTCTTCAGTTGAAATCAATTCTTCGAAAGGTCTCCACATCACTTTCAACATTTCAAAAATCGAAACCGAAAAAACAAACCCGATTTGATGATGAAGTAACCCCACCAACTCCACGTCGACTCAGGCCCAGTGTTCAGCAAGATCTTCAATGGATGTTGAATTACTTGGAGAGAGAAAAGAGAATCCGAATGGGCGAACTCTAATTATTTAAAAACGTGTCATGTATTAAAACAAGAGTTACCGTTTTTGTTATAAACAGTATCTATTGTCATGAATTTCAGTTTCTACAGTGGAGATTATTCACTTCTATTTCGAAAACATCAAATTAAACTTCTCAAATCCCACGTTTCCGCTCTTTCTATGCATTAAAACTTGAAACTAATAGATCAATTCTGCTTAGTAAAAATGTAGCTAATCCCCTGCTTATACCGTAATTATCCGCTTGATTACAGCAACATCCGTTTGTTATTTTCAATCTTTTTATGTTTTTTTGGCGTTTTCCCAGGTCACCGGCCGCATTGAAGAGTGCACTCTTATTCCGCCAATAACTCTCGTAGAGCGCTAAAGGGAGTGGCGAAAATGGAGGTTTTACCAGCGGAAATTTTGTGTTTCAGTGCTGACACACTTCACACGCACTGTGTGCCGTAAAGATTGGGTTTTTGTTTTTGCAGGAAAAATTAATTTCGATAACACTGCAATTTGCTGTTTTTTTTCCGACTACGAGTGCACGGTGCAATTCTCTCTTATTTCGATGCGCAAAATGGCTCAAATTTTTTTGGTCAAGCGTCCTTAGCCTGAACTTTGTTTTCCCAAAACAACATTTCCCGTTCGCCTGCCCCTCTTCTCAGCCCCTCTCCTCGCATAACGCGCCCTTTCCCGCAAAACACCGAGCTCCGGAGTTTTTGCGGCGGCCCGTAATAGAGATTCGGGGGGCCTCTCCTTCCTGCCCCCTCTCTAAAGCGCAGAAAAACGTGATGGGACGTGGCGGGCAGCGGGGGACGCACACTCCACACATTGCCCCTCGCCTTCGTCTCTTCACAACGCTGTTTCGTGCAAGAAAAATACGGACGAAAATTTCGCCCTTCGTCTCGGGGTTTGCCCCCTCCTGCCTTCTCGCTTTTTATGGTTTCCGCAAAAGCGCTGAAACTAGTCATTTTCCACCTTCAAGGTATTCGTTGTGCTATGCTTTGGCCGGGAATCGGAGAGCCTGCGGGAACATTAGATCTTACCTTATCCATAGTGTTGTTCCATATAAAAAACATTTTGAAAACAACTTGAAAAATTGCAATTTTCTTGCAACAGAGGATCAATCAGGCCATTTTATGGTCTTATGAAGTATTTCCCTTCCATTTTTTGCGCAACAACGCAAGAAATTAATACCTGAGGGAATCTCTGACCACATAAACAATGAATCTGTGATCCTTGACACTTGAATCATAACTTGTCGGCTAAAGAATTCCTGAAAAATTTTTCGCACACTGCAGAGCTCGCCGTTCGTTTGGAATGGCGCTGCATGGTGCGAATGTGGGTTTTCATTGCGACCATTTTCCTCTGTCGACAACTGCTAGCACAGTGCAAAAAAGTGCCATTTGCTAGCACGGTTTGAAAGGTCTCACGAATTCTTGCGTCGAATAATGTTGCACTTGATCATCTGATCAAATTTTTTGAACAAGCTGTAAAATCAAAAGAAACGCAATTATACAAGCTTTTCAAAAGAAACGTATTTTACAACTCAATTTTCTCTTTTTCCGAAACTTTTTCGTTTTTATTTTGAGAAAAAACTTGACCCAATCCGGCCAATCCAGTTGGGTCAAGTCTTTCCTTTTCCATTTTTCTTGTTGGAAATTGCATAACTTTTACAGGTTCCATTCAAATTTTTTGTCATGGTCATCTTACGACGTGTTTTGCTTTATTTTTTATTGAAAGTTGCGTTTTCTTTGTTTTTGATTTGAAATTTATATTACCCATGTTTCAGAAATGGACAATGCTTCCGAAATAGCATATAAAATAGAGCCCATGGGTACTCCCCCTCGCGTTGACCCCACTGATCCAGACTACGAGCCGAATCTGGCGGTTGACGATGGTTCCGACACCGAAGTTGCTCAATCTTCAAAGTCTGGCCTTTGGGGGAAAAAAGGTTCAGAAGATGCTCCAGAATCGCCGGAGAACAATGACATTTTCTCGGCGAATACGAATGCCTTCAGCTTCTTGACCAACGAAATGAGGGAGCAGTTGGGAATGCTAGTGAAGAGCTTGCCAAAGAGGAATCGAGAAGGTATGGATATTGTTTTAGATAATTTTTGATGCTTTTAAGGGAATTTCATGGAGAAAATAATGTTTATTATGAAGAAAAGGACTCGATTTAGGAGGGGCAGGCTTTTTTGTACGGCTGGTACCTAAAATTTAAAAAAAAATTTGCAAAAAATAGAAATTTTGTGACTAAAATAAGGTAAAGGGCTATAAGATCGATAAAAAGGCAAGTATGGTTGTAAAATATGTAATCGATACGCAGTCGATGCCCTTTTCTTCATGTTTTGACATAATAATTGAGTAATTCATCCGTTTTCATCAGTTTTTGATCAAATTTGATCAGGTGCAAAGTGTAATATACAAAATCTCTCAAGACGTCCCCGAAACTTCCTAAAATCAAACGTCTTGCAGATGACGACGAAGTGAATCCATCACCGAACAAACGAACCCGTCGAACGGTCCCATTGGCCACCAAAATGGAAATCATTGAGGCCGCCAAGAAGAAGACCTTTGTTGCTGTTGGAAAAGACTTTGATCTCGCCGAATCGACCGTCAGAATGATCGTCAAAGAGAAGGACAAGTATATTGCGGCTAATGCCATGTATCAGTGCAGTAAAAGGATCCGATTGACCAATGCAAAGTGCACCCAGTTGGATAAAGCTCTGCGGATTTGGGTAGATGGGATCAGAAAGGAGCAACCCGACTACCATTTTGACAACAAATCATTGCAGGTGAGTCTAAAGACCATTAGCTAGCTAGGAATTTACATTTGATTAAAAAGAACGCCAATTTTTTGATCTGATTATATTATCCATGGCAGAGTAAAAAGTCCCGTAAGAACTAAAAATTTCTAAAGTTTTCTAAATTTCAGGACAAAGCAAGAGAAATGGCATCAATCCTCGGCCTCAAGGACTTCAAAGCCAGCCAGGGATGGCTTTGCAAGTTCAAAATCCGCCATGGAATTGCCCAAGAGCCCAAGGAAACCCCCGAAAAGAAGATGGGCTGGCCCGCGAACCTTTCGCAACTTATAAAATATGATGAAGAACGCCCCCAGAGCAGCTCAAGCAATCATGAAACAAATGAAGACGGGGCCTTTAACGACTTATTACAGCAAATTTTGGGAAATAGCTCCAATAATTCTAATAGCCAGGTAAATTTTCGATTTTTTTGATGATTCCCTAGACTTTTTTGGAGATGTCTTGATACCATTAGCAAGCTGAACCGTCGGGCTTTCTAACACGATTTAAATTTCATAGTGCGGCGTTAGCTTTGCATATTTTGTATCGATTTTCAAGTGTAATATACTTTTAGACAAATTTATGAAAATCTCAAAATTCCACCGGAATTTCGCCGTAGATTATGGAAAAACTGGGTGGCTATGTAGTTTAGAGAGCATCGATCATAATCGACTTTAAAACGGACTAAAATAAAACTGTTTCTCTAACGAAAAGACCAAACAAATCGGGACACGTCGCCTTCCCGTTCATTCCACCCAGGAATCATTATTTCTTGTTTAATCTTGCAATTATTTCTCTCGATATACTCGTGGCATAGTTTATAATGAAACTGGGTATCTTTTGCTCAAAATTGACCTGATTTTAGACAAATTTGACCTTTTTTAGGCAAATTTGACCTTATTTGACCTTAAAGGCTTTCTTTTGCTGTTTTGATAGAAAATCCGACCGGAAATGATTGCATCTGGTGGTGAAAAAAGCAGGCATAGTCTATAATCTATTTTATTGCGCTCCCATATCAAAAAATCCGCTTCTCGCCGTATTTCGCGATATGATCTATAACAAGATTAGTCCAGCTAAAAATATAGACGGAAATGCGTCGGATGGCTTATAAATTTGTCGCTGTTGCTGTAGGAATGTCGTTTTATACTCCATCGGCTGCCTAAATACGATTTTTTCTTGGTTTGCCGGGAATTTTGTCTCCGCAAGCTGCGCCCACACCTGCAGGCTGCGTGGGGACATTTTATACGATCTAACGTCTTTTGCTGGAATTTTATTTTTTTTTTGACGGCGGAATTGGTTTTGATGACTCCTTTTCGAAATTTGGTCGTAGACTTTGATCATTTGAACTGTTTTGACACTTTTTCACCGCTTTCTTACTGATAGTCAGATGTTTATATAAAATTTTTGTTTTCAGATGTACAAACTGACTGATGAAGAGTCGATCACCTTGGCCGCTCGAGCAGCAAACGCTATGAAGAATGCCTACTGTCCGTATAGTAAATTTCAAGTGGGATCTGCGCTTTTAGGAGAAGATGGAGAAGTTTATGAAGGAGGTGAGGATTTTTGATCTTTCGATGTAATTTTAGGTGATAATCTGGGAGGAATCGTATTTGAGAAAGAACTGAACAATTTTTTGGATTTTCTCATTGAAATTTTTATGCGCTTCTTGTGATTTTGGGGTTTTTTGATGGTTTATATTATTTTGGGTACCTAAATTAATTTGTTGCGTATTTCTAGGGGTTCTTTTGTGAAAATAGGGGCGTTGTGACATAGAGGTTGTAGTAGTATCAAAATTTGTACAATGAAAGGCAATTTATAGATCTTTCTCCGATTTTTTGATTTGCTGGTCAAGTATAATATAAAAATTTTCAGTTAATGTCGAAAGTGCCTCATACCCGGTTGGAACGTGCGCCGAACGAGTTGCTATTGGAAATGCGGTCACGAAAGGAGTCAGAAAATTTAAGGGAATTGCAGTAGCCACCAGAGTTCCCGACGGCGGATCACCATGTGGAATGTGCCGTCAGATGTTGTTCGAATTCGGCGAATATGAGGTAATTTTACTATCCATGTCTTTATTGCCTATTGATTATCATTTTAGGTCCTGTTGTGCAACCCGGAAGCGAAAATTATCGTCCGAACCTCTACCACCGAACTGTTGCCTCGAGGCTTTGGACCTCATCATCTGAAGACTCAATAAGGCCCTGAATAGTGTAAAATTTGTTACTTACGCGGTTAACGCAATATTAACGCATTGAGTATGGGTTTTAGAAAAAATATCGTTGTTTTAGAGGATCTTTTCGTTTAATTATCTACGATTATATTATATAAACTGTGAATTTATTGTTGATTCAATGAAGTTGAGAAATGTAATTTTGGTGCGAGAGAGCTGTCGTCTGCAGCAATGAAAGCTGTTTATTATGTTTTAGCAAGTGGTTCATCGCGAGAAGAAGACATGGCACAGGGTCAAGTGTTTCTGTAAAATTTCTTTTCTTCAATTTTTTAGATTTGGGGAGGATAGGTTACCCCGAGAATATGTTACCCACCGGATAGGTTACCCCAAAAAACACATAACTCGGAGGATAGGTTACCCCACCGGATAGGTTACCCCACGGATAGGTTACCCCACCGGATAGGTTACTCCACGGATAGGTTACCCCTTACCAAAAAAGAAAAAATTTTTTTTTGAAATGTTTTCGCTTCGGGAGTTGAAAAAAAGGATTTTTTGTGAAAATTGAAAAAATTTTGAAATGTTTTCGCTTCGGGAGTTTAATAAGAAGGATTTTTTGTGAAAATTGAATAAAATTTGAAATGTTTTCGCTTCGGGACTTGGAAAAAAAGGATTTTTTTGTGAAATTTGAATAAAATTTGAAATTTTTTCGCTTCGGGAGCTGAAAAAAAGGATTCTTTGTGAAATTTGAAAAAATTTTTAAATGTTTTCGCTTCGGGACTTTTAACAAAAGGATTTTTTGTGAAAATTGAAAAAAATTTGAAAGGTTTTCGAGCTGACTGAGTATGAACTGACTGAATATGAAAACTGGGTTTCTGTTACCTTACTGCCTTTAGAGATTCTTTTTGAAAATTTTTCGACTTATAACACTTTTAGACGTTAATGGTGTTGTTTTGGTGCCTAGTACTGCTTAAAAAACACATTTTTAACACTTGGTACTAAATAGTACTACCTGGTACTATTTAGTACGAGGTGCAAATTTGGCCGTAAGGCGGTAATGGCGTTGGTTTGGTGCTTAGTAAAACCTAAAAACACGTTTTAACACTTGGTACTATATAGTACCAACTGGTACTGCTTTGTGAGAAGTGAAAATTTGGCCATGAGGCAGTAATGGTGATGGTTTGATGCTTAGTAGAGCCCAAAAAAACGCGGTACTATATAGTACCAGGTGGTACCATTGGTTTTAGACAAAATTTTAGTGCTGCCGGCACCACAGTTAATATTCAGTCAGACACCCTTTTTTCTACTTCCGATGCGAAAACATTTCAAATTTTTGTTGAATTTTCCAAAAAATCTTTTTTTCCCAGTCCCGAAGCGAAAACACTTAAAATTTTTTTCAAATTTCACAAAAAATCCTTTTTTTCCAAGTCCCGAAGCGAAAACATTTCAAAAAAAAAAAAAATTTTCAGGTAACCTATCCGTGGGGTAACCTATCCGCTGGGGTAACCTATTTGTTAGGGGTAACCTATCCTCCGAGAACGAATTTTTTAGCCAAAACTCGAATTTTGTCGTTATTTTTCGACCTTGCGTTTACGTTTTCGGTACGTTTGAACCATTTTGTGTTGTAGAGATTTCCTTTTTCTCTTATGTAATGTAATTTTACCCGCAAAATTCCCAATTGCTCATTAAAAGTCCGTTTATTTTTACAATTCTCAGTAGTAGGTCTCGCGTTCAACCCATCCGCCGGGATAGCGTCTGATTAAATACCGTCGGACCTCGTCAAAAAGGAAGATTATGATTGAGAAAGGGAGAGGTGGGAACCACCAGCTAAACCGAAGTCCGTACATTCGAAGAGCCTTGTCGAGGCCGGGACAGTAGCACAAAAAGGCGGCTAAAGCTGTCTCAAAGACCAGGCCAAAGTTCATGTACCAGTTGAACATTCCTTGTTGGACCAGCGAGTTGCGGCGTGTTTTGGAAACGATCAGATCGGCCCATTGAACGATAACGATTGCAACGAAATACGCGGTCTGACAGGTGTGCTCTAAGATCTTTCGGTCCTTATACGCCTGAAATTTGATTTTTTATTAGTTAAAACTTTTGCGAAGATCCAAAAACGATTTTTTTTGGCCAAAAGGTCATGTGTAATATATTTTTTTTGTTGAAACCCACCCATTCCTGTCCATAACTGTCTGGTAAGTTGTTTACTGCCACGGAATCCCATTCAGCCCGGATTTGGTACAACCTGGAAGGCATAAATCCATTATCTGCCATGATCCAGAAGTACGTGTAGAACCCGGCCATTGCTTGGATCATCCCGATTTGACCATAAGCAAGCGAGATTAGCCGCTCATTCACGAGTTTATCGCGGTTTGAATCCCTTGGTTTGCGCTTCATGATGTCGGACTCTGCCTCTTCGTAGGCCAAGGAAATCGCGGGAACCATGTCAGTGCCAAGATCAATACACAAGATCGTTATAGCACCCAATGGGAGGGGAATTCCGAAGAGAATGTAGGTAAGAAAGGGAGAGATTTCAGGAATGTTTGATGTCAAGGTGTAGGCGATCGATTTTTTGAGGTTATCGAAGATCAATCGGCCTTCTTCAACTCCCACCACAATGGAAGCGAAGTTGTCGTCCATGAGGATCATATCGGCAGCTTGTTTGGAGACATCTGAGCCGGTAATTCCCATAGCTACTCCAATGTCAGCTGAAAAAATAAAGCTTTTAGAATATTATTGTCAAAAAACGGACTTTTATCAATCAATCTGCCAAATAAAGATGCCCTTACCCTTCTTCAAAGCCGGAGAATCGTTGACACCGTCGCCAGTGACAGCCACAATCTGACCTTGTCGTTGGAAACCCTCAACAATCATCAGTTTTTGCTGTGGCGAAGTTCTAGCAAAGACAATCTCCTCATGATGTGAGATGAAGTCATCAAGCTGTTCCGAGCTCATTGCTCGGAGGTCTGAACCATGAAGAACCGCGGCTTTGGCCTCCCGAGGATTGACAAGACTAATGGCAACTCCTTTTCGCATAGCGATATCTTCAACAGTCTCCGAAGAGATGATTCCAACGGATTTGGCGATGGCCTTGGCAGTGATTGGATGATCGCCAGTGACCATTACTACCTGAAAGTTAATGGTGCTTACATTATTTGTATATTGGCTTACCTTAATTCCCGCAGAGCGACATTTAGCTACAGCATCGGGAACGGCAGCGCGAGGAGGGTCAATCATCGACATAAGCCCAACAAATCGTAAGCCAGTCATTGGGAAGTTGACCTCCTCGGCATCAAACTTGAAACCCTTTGGAAACTTTGTCTCGTCCAGACGGAAATCACAGAATCCAAGAACCCGTTCGCCAAGTCCTCCAAGTTCAAGGTAAGCCTCGTTGAAGTCGTGTTTTAGCTTATCATCCAATTCCTTCTCTTGTCCTTTGATTAACATCGTTGAGCAACGTTCCAAAATTCTTTCAGGCGCTCCTTTCATCACCAGGAGATAACCACCTTCGTTTTCATGAACCGACACTTGGAACTTATTTGTCGAGTTAAACGGAATCTCTGCGATTTTCGGGCTCTTTCGCCGATAATCCATAACATTGCCCAGCTGAAGCTCGGTAAATTTAAGCAACGCGATCTCCGACGCATCTCCAGTGCATTCCCGTCGAAGAACTGGGGCTTCGGTCTGGCCACTCTTGAATTCAGCGCGGTTGCAGAGTGCTGCAATCCGCAATAACGCTGTTTCGGACTCGCAGCGGTTACGTTGACCACCAACATAGTTCTCGGTTGTGTCGCAACTGGAAATGGTTAGGTCGAACCAAGTGTGCGCAACAGTCATTCGATTTTGAGTAAGAGTTCCCGTCTTGTCGGAGCAGATGGTCGAAGTGGAGCCGAGAGTTTCAACGGCTTCAAGATTCTTGACCAGGCAGTTCTTGGAAGCCATTCTTTTGGCTGTGAGGGTTAGGCAGACGGTCACAGTGGCAATTAGACCTAAATTCGGTATCATAAATATCGAGCAGGCTCCCTGCCGTTTAAATATCGCTAAATCCTTACCTTCCGGAACGTTTCCAACGATAATGCCGATCAAAAACACAATTGCGGTAATCCAGTGGTAACCCAAAAACAGCGAGATGATAAAGAACGTAACTCCAACAAAAATTGCGACACTTGTGATAATGTGAATGAAATGCTCAATTTCCCTGGCCAAAGGCGTCATTCCCGAGTCCAAATCCGCGGCCAGATGAGCGATTCTTCCGATTACCGTGCGATCCCCAGTGTAGATGACGATTCCCTTGCATGTTCCTTCAACAGCATTTGTTGAGAAGAACGCGATGTTCTTGGTTTCCAACGGATTCTCGTTGGTGCATTCTGGAGAGCGCGATTGCGGCTCGGATTCACCAGTCAGGGACGCGTTATCGACTTTGAATCCGGACGCTGAGATGACTCGAATATCGGCCGGAACTCTGTCGCCACTGTGGATTTCCACCACGTCTCCAACTACCAGTTTTTCGGTTTCGACTTGGATCTTCTCGCCATTCCGATATACCATGGCGTAGGTTGGAATCATCGACTTGAACGACTCCATAATCTTCGATGACTTGTTTTCTTGATAGTATTGGAAACAACCGGTGATAATTACAACGCTCATTAGGACAATTCCCAAATATAGATTGTCGAATGCCGGGTTTTCCATTGTAAAGTAATCGACGGCGAATGCAATGTAACAAAGGACAGAGCCAATCCAAAGGAGCATAGCGAAGCCGCCAAACAGATTTTTTGCAAATTTCACCCATTCTGCAGTGCTTTTTGGCGGAGTCAGAGAGTTGGGACCGTCGCGGGCTAACGCTTCTTCAGCTCGGAAACTGGTTAGACCCTGAAATAAAAAAAAACAATATGTAATTCTGTCGGGAAAATAATGAATACGCTTTCGCATTGAGAATTGAAGAAAATGAATTGTGTCGCAACGAAATCAAATTGCTGTTTTCTTGCACTGGGAAAGAACCTTTAGAAAATCTGCTGCGACGCAGATAGAAAAGCTTACGTCGCAGCGATATTCGAATTTCACTGTGGAAAAAGGTCGAATTTGAAAGGTTGAAAAGGTGCGGAAAGCCTCGCAATAAAAACGTCTACGCAATTAATAGGAAGAATAATAGATTCCCACTTTTTTTGACTTTTCTTGGCTTCAAAAATGTATTGTAATGGCTACTCACCTTTTCGAGATCTGTTCCAAGACGCGCGACCAATTGCTCGAGTGGAACTTGATGTTCGTCCATTCGAACTTCTTGCTTGAGCTCATCGAGCTCTCCCTTTTTGTTCTTGGCCATCTTCGGACCTGAAATTGGTAATCCTAGCCAAGTTTCTTTCAAAATCCAGCAAGATTTTTTTTGTAACGAAATGCCACAAAAATTGTGAAATTTCGTCTGATGTCGCGCAACTTCCGGTAAGAAACCCTCACCCGAAACGTCACGAAACCGGCCAGAGGCGAAAACAAAACGAGAGAGTATTCGAAGAGCGTCGTCTTGGAGGGCACTTTTTGCCCTTCGAAACTTCTCACAGAAAGTTGAGCCGTCTGCGGCTCGGCCAAGACGTCAGAGCGAAAGGGAGAAGTTGAGAGACAAAAAGCTCGAGCGGTCAGTGCGAATGACCGGTCAAAGGCGTTGAGTTAATTTACCGCTAAAGGCTTGGGTTAAAAAGTCGACAAGGGCCATTATGGAGATTAAAGAAAACTGGGCGGAGTCCTGGGCCGGGATACAATGGGAATAACTTTTTTGGGGTTTAGACCATTTTCTACACTTTTTTCGAGTTTTTAAGCCATATCATGTATGCAATTGTAGTATTTTACCTTAAGGCAAAAGGTTAAAAAATCAAAAAAAGAACAATTTTAAATGGTAGGGCTCACCACAGAGCTCAAAAATGAAGGTTTCACTGACATAAACTTTACATTTTAGGCCGAAACCCTTAGGCAATTCCTCAACACCCCCATTTCAAAATTAAACTCCCCCCTTTGAAATCCACCTGCGAAAAATCTTCCATTCTTTTTGTCTGAATAAAAAAGATACGGTGCCGAATTAAGAGCTCGAGCCCTCAAGGGGAGGGTCAGTTTTTCTGGCCGCGGCATGTTGATAGATCACACTATGCGGCGTAAGGTTAAAAATTTTATTACCGGATTACTAATTAAGGAAGAAGGTTGGAATATTACAACTGAAAGGGTATATATGTAGAATTTTTACAATTTATGGGGGGTTAAGGTTGGAGTTACAATTTAAAGCCTGAATTGTAGTGGGAGTTCCGTGTTGTAAGGAAATTACTGTACGAAAACTCCAATTGATAAATGACAATAACTGCGACAAAACCGTGCATATTACTATTTAACAAACGAAAGATAATGTATATTACAATCTATGAGCGAGTTGAAATGTATGAAATGAACCGTTCTTCTCCATTAATAGTAGGTTTCGCGTTCCACCCATCCACCGGGATTGCATCTCAAGATGTAGCGTCTGGTCTCGTCGTAGATGAAGATCAGGATCGCGAACGGTAGCGAGGGGAACCACCACGCAAACCGCAAGCCATACATGTGCAACGCTTTGTCCATGCCGGGTGCGTAGCAGAGGAAGCAGGCCAACGTGGTCTCGAAAACCAGACCGAAGTTCAATGCGCCGTTGGTCATGCCCTGTTGAACCAGCGAGTTGCGACGGGTCTTGGAGATGATTAGATCAGCCCATTGCGCGATGACGACGGCAATGAAGAAGGCGCTTTGAACAGTATGTTCGAGGACTTTGCGGTCGGTATAGGTCTAAATAAATTTGAATTAATATTGTTTGGAGGTATGAATTGGACCGTATTTTACCATGTCATCGGCATGCTAATCCCTATTTTACTGTTGTTTTATGATAAAAAACTCACCCATTGCTGGCCATAACTGTCCTCCAGATTGTTCACAGCTTTCGCTTCCCACTCGGCACGGATGCCGAGAAGTCTTGAGGGCAAGAACCCATTGTCTGCCATGATCCAGAAATATGTGAAGAATCCGGCAGCCGCTTGAATCATACCGATTTGACCATAAGCCAGCGAAATTAGACGCTCATTCACCAGCTTATCTCTCTTCGAATCCCTCGGTTTTCGCTTCATGATATCGGATTCAGCTGCTTCGTAGGCCAAAGAAATACCGGGGACGAGGTCAGAACCAAGATCAATACACAAGATGGTGATTGCGCCCAAAGCCAAGGGGATTCCGAAAACGATGTAACACAAGAACGGCGTGATCTCAGGGACGTTGGAGGTCAAGGTGTAGGCGATCGATTTTTTGAGGTTATCGAAGATCAATCGGCCTTCTTCAACTCCCACCACAATGGAAGCGAAGTTGTCGTCCATGAGGATCATATCGGCAGCTTGTTTGGAGACATCTGAGCCGGTAATTCCCATAGCTACTCCAATATCAGCTGAAAAATGAAGCGTTTAGAGTTTTAATGCCAAAGAACGGACTTTTAAATGCCAAATAGAGACGCCCTTACCCTTCTTCAAAGCCGGAGAATCGTTGACACCGTCACCAGTGACAGCCACGATTTGACCTTGTCGTTGGAAACCCTCAACAATCATCAGTTTTTGCTGCGGCGAAGTTCTGGCAAACACAATCTCGTCATGTGTTCTGATGAACTCATCCAACTGATCGTTGCTCATCTCACGGAGATCTGAACCATGAAGAACGGCAGCCTTGGCTTTTTTCACGTTCACTCTTTCGATTGGAATTCCCTTGCGCATGGCGATGTCTTCAACAGTGTCCGAAGAAATGATTCCAACCGACTTGGCGATGGCTTTGGCTGTGATCGGATGATCACCAGTGACCATTACGACCTAAAAATGGAAGGAACTTACGAAAGAAGATGATTTCACTTACCTTGATTCCAGCAGACCGGCATTTTGCCACAGCGTCGGGAACAGCCGCTCGAGGAGGGTCAATCATCGAAATCAACCCGACAAATCGGAAGCCAGACATGGGGAAGTTGACATTCTCTACATCAAATGCGAATCCTTTGGGGAACTCCTTAGGGTCAAGACGGAAATCGCAGAACCCAAGAACTCTTTCGCCCATTCCACCGAGTTCAAGGTAGGCCTCGTTGAAGTGATGGCGTAGATGCTCGTCCAACTCCTTCTCTTCTCCTTTCACCAAAATCTTCGAGCAGTGTTCCAAGATTCTCTCGGGCCCTCCTTTCATCACCAGCAAATAGCCCGGATTTCCATCGTCGGTCTCATGAATGGAAATTTGATATTTATTGGTCGAGTTGAACGGAATCTCCGCGACTTTGGGGTTCTTCTGGCGATACTGGACGACGTTTCCCAACTGTTGCTCGGTGTATTTGAGCAGCGCGATCTCTGAGGCATCTCCAGTGCATTCACGGCGAGTTACGGGCATTTCCGTCTGGCCTGGCTTGAAGTCGGCACGACTGCAAATGGCGGCAACTCGAAGAAGAGCGGCCTCCGTCTCTCCGCGTTGTCGGTTGGCGGCCCCGGCATAAGTCTCAGTGGTATCGCAAATGTTGATAGTGCGATCGAACCAAGTGTGAGCGACGGTCATTCGGTTTTGCGTGAGCGTTCCTGTCTTATCGGAGCAGATGGTCGAAGTGGAGCCGAGGGTTTCGACGGCTTCGAGGTTCTTGACCAGGCAATTCTTCGAGGCCATTCTTTTGGCTGTGAGCGTTAGACAGATGGTCACGGTACAGAGGAGACCTGAAAAAAGAATTAATTTCTGAAATAAAAAAAAACGATTTTTCAAAAAAGGTTCCATGAAATCCCTACCTTCTGGCACATTTCCAACAATAATACCGATCAAGAAGACCACCGCGGAAAGCCAATGATATCCAATCGCCAACGAGACGAAAAAGAAAGTCAGCCCACAGGTACAGGCAACTGCAGTGATCATGTGGATGAAATGCTCGATCTCAATGGCGATCGGAGTCATTCCCGAGTCCAAATCCGCGACCAAATGAGCGATTCTTCCCATCACAGTCCGATCGCCGGTGTAGATGACGATTCCCTTCGCTGTTCCTTCGACGGCATTGGTGGAGAAGAAGGCGATGTTCTTGGTTTCCATCGGATTCGGGTTGGTGCATTCGGGAGAGCGGGATTGAGGCTCGGATTCACCGGTAAGCGAGGCGTTGTCCACTTTGAAAGATGACGCTTCAATGATTCGGATGTCGGCGGGGACGCGGTCTCCGCTGCGGACCTGTAAGGAGAAATATGAATGGGAACTATATTGTACTTGGTCAACAAGCTTTGAGAGTTCAAAAGTTCAAGGGTTGAAGCTCAGCGCGCGGATTTTTTTTTTTTTTTTTTGAAACTTGTCAGTTATCACCTGTGTGGGCCAGTTTTTCAGGGAGAAAAATCTTAAATAGCGCTTTGAAACAGAACCTTGGATTTTCAACAGTCTTTCACCAGAGGGCGAAATTAATGTTAGCATTTTTGACCTTGCTATACGAAGCTTTTTAATAACTTTTTTCCCAAATTATTACCTCAACAATATCTCCGACGGCCAGTTTATCGGCTGGGATCTGAACCTTCTCCCCATCTCGATAAACCATTGCAAAAGTCGGGACCAAAGCCTTGAAAGACTCCATAATCTTCGACGATTTGCTCTCTTGATAGTACTGGAAAACACCTCCGATTATCACCACGGTCATCAAGACAATGCCCAGATAGAGATTGTCGAAGCTGGCATGCTCCATGGTGCAGAAGTCGACGGTGAAAGCGGTGTAGCAGAGAAAAGAGCCGATCCAAAGGAGCAGAGCGAAGCCGCCGAAAAGATTTTTCGCGAATTTCACCCATTCTGAGGTGGTTTTCGGGGGAGTTAGGGAATTGGGACCATCACGGGCCAGAATTTGATTGGCCTTGGTGGTTGTTAGACCCTGTAAAGGAAAAAAATAAATAAAAAAATTGAAAAATATCAAAGCACTTTTCTAAAAAAAATTTTTTTTCAAGAAATTTAAAATTTTGATTCCTAATTTTTTTTGCTTTTCATATTTTCACTTACGTTATGAACATCAGTACCAAGTCTTTGGACCAGTTCTTCAACACTAATTTGATGTTCGTCCATTCGGACCTCCTGCTTGAGGTCATCAAGCTCCTTTTTGTTCTTGACCATGTTGAGATCCGGTTAATTAACCCCGGTCGATGAGTGGGGCTGAAAATGACATTCAAGATTATATAAAAAGCTTCTTCGTATGAAATCGCAAACATCGCGGCTCAAATTTGCCAATAAAATTAAAAAACGTCTTTTAAAAATTCAAAATTTTTTTTATATTCAAAATCGAAGTCCCCAAAACATTCTCTGAGCAATAAGAAATGTCTAGAGACGACTTGACGACAGTAATAATGCCTTTTCGACCCTACAATTCGATCCGGAATGACCAGAACTGAGACAATAAACCCTCGAACAAAAGTGGGCGGAGCCTTACAATACAAACGATCAGACGGTATGTTTCGGAACTTTGATCAATTTTTAAAAGAGCAATTTGATCACTACAGACTACTCGAGCGTGAATTGTTTACTTTTTTGATTTTTCAAGTGGAAAAAAACAAAAAAAATGGGAAAAATCTAGGACTAAAAAAGCTGAATTTCTCAAAGTCTGATATGTGGATTGTCTGTAAATTTTGCATATATACTCTATGCGGCCCATGTTTCAATTGCTGAAAATTTTAGATCATGTTTTTCAGTGGTGGCTGAGATATTCGACAATTTTTACGGGCCAGTGATAATGAGGAGGAACGGTTGAGAACGTGGTTTTTGGTTGTATCTTTTCATATTTTGCGATGAAAAGAGTGATTTTTTATGGAAAAACTCACTTCCTTGTTTGGAGAGAGAACGAAATTTAAATTTTAAAATTTTGAAAAATTTAAAATTTTTTCGATTTTTTGAATTTTTCGGGCTAAAAATCAGTGTTTTTACAAAGCACAAGTTAAAAAAATAATAAAATAGAAATTAAGCTGTGTTTTTATCAAGGTTTCTCCACAAAAAAAATCCAAAAAATGAGACTTCTCCAAAAAATTTCACTTTTCACTCTACTCTTTTCCTTCAAATACAATTTCAAACCCAACAAATTATTCTCCTGCTCCAGCTGACCAAAACACAACACACTCAAGCCTCGTTATGCACTTGCTTCGTTATAAAAGAGCGTATTTTTGATCCGTTCGATTACCATTTCCCCCCGTCTTTTTTCGGATCAAATTCGAATTATTTGACCGCTCACATTTCGCTGCGTGATTTCGGCTCCGCAAAAGGGGCGAATTCGAAAATGTTTAGCGAAATGACTACTCGTCTCTTTTTTGTTACAATTTTACAAAAAAATGACTTGAGCTAAAAGCGGAGCGGGAAAAATTAAAAATTGATTTCTCAGCTCAAAGAGACGGTAAAACACGCCGGTTGAGGGGGAAAAATGGCGTTGGAAAGAGCGATTTTTTCGATGAAATGTTGAGAAAAAAGGTGAGAAATAAAAAATTAGTAAAAAGTACTTTTTTTCGAAAATAATCAGTTAAAATAAAGTAAAAAAATAAATGAAAGAAATTGATTTTTTTGACCAAAAAATCTCAATAAAAAAATTTGATTTCTGAAAAAGATAGGAAATAAGAGTGAAGGAATAAGTTTTTAAGCTAAACATGTTTCATGTTTTTAGCCTAAACATGTTTCATTTTTTATACCTAAAAATCGTGAAAATTTTTGTGAATTAGCCCAAATTTAAACAAAAAAACCGCCAAAAATTGATTTTAACCAACTAGAAAAATGGTCCCAAGTGCGACGCTCAAAATTACAAATGTCATCAATTCCTAAAAATCTTAGCTCGCAGTTTGCCGCCGAAGCCGAGATATTGAACGATCTCTGCGCCCGAGAGAGTGCGAGAAGTGCGGAGAGCGGTTAGAAAAAATTCATTTTCTGTGGAAAAATTACTCTCTTTGGTGAAAATAGGCATGCACTTTTTTGTGCCAAAATTCGCAAAAAAAAATTCATTTTTGCCAAATTTTCGACCTAAAAATCTCCTCTGTTTCTGTAAATTGCGAGCTAGGAGTGTCGCATGTGTCGTAGAAAAAATTATTCTAAAGATGTACCAAGGTTCATCAAAGAATAACCATCGCTCTTTGAGTTATTATCTTTACAGCTTTCCCGGTAAAAATAGTATGAATTAGAGAAATAAAGGTATAGAAAAATCTCTTAAAATATAATTTTTTTGAAGTTGATTTAGCTGAAAAAAATTGATATCAAACGCAAAAAAAATTTTTTTTTGATTTTTTCAAAATTTCACACATCTGAAACTTAGCCAACAACATTGAAAACCCCTAAAAGACCCCTTAAAACCCTCAAAATGCTCTATTAAACTAACTCCTAATCACTTTTAACCAAGCCTTATCAAAACTTAAGCCGCTGAAACCATCAAAAATCCGCCTCTTTATTAAAGCAGATTGCCTTATCATCCCCCTTCAGCAGGCGTTACACATCATTGTTAATCCAAAACATTTCGTTCTCACTGCTTAATAGGGATTGACACTCAAATTTGACCGCTCAATGACCGGTCATACGCTTCTTTTGGCCAAAAAGAAAAATAATTTCGGGAAAATGGACAAAAAATCTGTTTGAGGGGCCAAGAATTTAAGTGAGAGTCAAAAAAAATTTTTTGCATCGCACTTGGAATGGGGTAAAATACGAAAGAATTACAATTGAGGGCTCAACAGACAGCCGTGTGGCTTTGGTTTTCCGAGAGAAAATAAAAAGAAAAACGCTCCTCCAAACGGGGGGTTTTCATGGCGAAAAAAGCGAATTTCGGGACCGGAGAACAGCGGTAAAAATTTTTTGGGCAATCCATTGACTGTCATTAATACAAATAAAAAGTTTTGAGTCAGAAATTTGCATAATTGATTACTTCTTTAGCCTTTGCAAAAAAAGCTTGTTTTTTGGTTAAAATCGACCAAAACCCCTACGGGCGTAAGATCAAATGCCATCAAAATACACTGACTTTAACCTAACCTTCTTCTAGTAAATTTGGAAAAAAATATTCTGAAATTTGCATATTGAGCTAGTTTTTTGAGCCGTTTAAAACAAGCTCCGAAGATAAAAAATTTTTAGTCGAAAATTGACTGTAAACCCTTGAGGCTCAAAAAAAGATTTTGCAAAATACAGACAGAATCAAAATAATGCCCAGCTCAAATCACGCTGTAAAGTTTTTGCCCAAAAATTTGCATAATAAAGAAGTTTTTAACTCTTTTTAAGAAACACTGCGCTTTAAAAAAACTATTCCTCAAAGTACGCTCAGAAAATCCATAGTAGCGGCGATAAATTTCAAAAATCTTTTTACTCTCTAAAAATAAAGTCCTTTTTCGCTACATAAGAAAATTTCCAGCTCAAAAATTGCCGATTTTCACAACGTTTTTGCACCTTGAAGAATCAAATAATTTGGTCAAAAATCGACCAGAAACTCGTAAAAGTATCACCTTTTGTATGCATTTTCTGCATGACAGTAAGACCGTTTTTTTGTTGCATGTTTAAACAGTCTCTGCAGTGAGGAATTCAGACCTCTTTTTGAAGATCATAATCGCTTTTGGATGGAGATGACGACATTCTTAAATTATTTACGTCCTCTCGTTCGGGTTGGATAAAATTTCGGCCGTTTTATGGATCCTACATGTTTTAGAAGGTTCGTGGTTGTTTTTAGCGGATTTTTGAGAGCTTCCAGACGGCTTCTCATTGATTTGCGGCCATTATTGCGGGCTCGCCTGTTGCGGATGGGTGTGAAAACCGGAGATGAGATGGGGGTTTTTACTGTTTGTTCTCGGGAGTATAAATGGGAGGAGTGGGAGGAGGAAGAGAGCAGACCAAACATCCGAAGAACACTACAGATGCCTGAGGCGCGATAAGAATTGAGCTTTTGGCCTTTGGAGGTGGAAAAAGACTTTCTTTTGCGATTCTGTTGGGAAAATAATGAGCGCTCTGTCGCGTCAAAGATCGCATCGTAGCCCAGGGAATTAATTGTGTTGCAGCGAAATCAAATTGGGTTTCACTTCAGCTACGCGATTGGCACAGCAACATAGTCCCCATAATTTTACAGACAGACGAATAGAAGGAGCTATGCGAATGGAGTTCGGATATTTCATATAACGCTATGGCCACAACAATCGATCGCTTTTTAAAACAACTCTTTGACACACAATAGACAATGAATCGATAAGAAACCTAAATATTATTTCGTTATGCCTGTCTGGAAAATAATGAGCACTCTGTTGCCGCGAAAATTGCATCGCCGCCGAGAAACTGAATTGTGTTGCGGCAATATCAAATTGCTTTTTATTTAAGCGATGCGATCGGTACAGCAACATAGTGTTCATTATTTTCCCGTCAGGCTAACATAAGGGCTTTCTTGTACAGAGGCTCTTTTAGGTCCCCCGGCAACTTCTTTACAAAAGATACATTTTATGGGGCAAAAATGTGAGAAATAAACAAGTAAACATCAGTGTCCACGTGTTTTTCAGTCCAAAAGCACGAAAGGAACATGTCGGTCGGCGGCTGAAAAATCCGAAAAGCAGAAAGAAAATGCAGCAATAAAGACGATTATCTCTCTAGTATCTCGTTAAAATTGAAAAAAGGAAATATAATTATTCAAGTTTCGAAAGTAAAGGAAAATATGTAAATTCTGAAAATTACTTGTTTATCGATCAAAAAACAGGTTTTATCAGTCTGTCGGGAAAATAATGGGCACAATGCGACGATCGCTGAAGTGAAAAGCAATTCATTTTTGATGCGATTTTTCTATGCGACAAAGTGCTCATTATTTTCCCGACGGACTGATATAGTGGCTGGGAGAAAGGAAATGGCTTATAAAGATTTGTAAAGCAGATGACATCAGGCTCAAACCAGCTTTTTTGTTGCTAAGACAATGCATTTCTCCCTTAAAATTTGTTTTATGGCGATTTTGCTGGATCGGCGAAGCTGTGTAGAGATCACATAGTCTTTTTACAACCTACTTTTACTCTAAGCCATTCCATAACATCAAAGAAATCAAGTGCAAGTTCAAACCTTAATCCCGCACTAAGTCTTTCCTTTCCTCCCCTGCGGCTCAACTACCATATCAACGGAGACAAAAGCCCCTCCATTCTCTCCGCGAAGACTGACCACAAGCTAATTCCAACTCTTATATATGCGTTGACCATTCGTTGAGACTTGTATTCACCGTATTTCCATGGCCCATAAAGCTCTCGCCCTTCGCCTTCGTCGTTTTGAGCCATAATGCCGGAAGGGGAGGGGGGAGGGGGGAGAGAGCGGGCTCAAATTGTACGGTTTTTTTTGATCCGGGCTCAAATGGTTTTGCAACGGAGTGGGAGGAGTTTCCCGACACTTCCGGCAGCCCCTAACTTTGTTCCCACATGCGCAATTCTGTTAATTCCTAAAAAAGAAAATGCCGCAGGGCATGCGGGATAATTTGGGGGGAAAGTTGGGAGATTTCGAGAGAAGTTTCGACCGGTTAATGGTGAGTTTTGTGTCAAAATTTTTGCAAGAATTTTTGAATTTTTTTCGAAAGTTTGAATATTCAAATTTCAGAAATTAGAAAATTTAGCTGTCAAAAAAATTAAATAATACACTTTTTGCCGATTTCAAAGTTTTTCTTTTATTTTTTTTTTTGAATGTTCAAAAAACTAAAATTCAAAAATTTCAAAAAATTAATAATTTTCAAAATTAATTTCATTAATTTTTTGGCAAAATTCTAAAAATTTCATTTCAAATATTCAAATGTTGTGTTTAATTTGCTTTAATTTTCAAATTCCACACCAAAAAGCTAATTAATTCCCCACACTTTTTAATTCACTCCAAATTGATTATGAAAACACGATTTGAAAGCTCAACAACCCCAATTGAGCCGGGATCAAAAAACGGCTCAATCTGTGTCTGGCCATCCCGTTTCTCCTTCTCTTTTTAGCCAATGTCTCACCTTTTCTCTCTTGTTTTCATTTTCTCCGCGGCCATGACGCAAACCAGTTCGAAAGTGGAATACAAAAATTACAAAACGCTGTGAATGGAAGGAGCAAAGGTCGAAGAAGAAGGCAGACATCAAATTGGACAGTTTGAAATAATAAAATTTGATTTTATCAAGGCTCAAAATTCAAGTCAAATTTATATAAAGCTAATTATCAAAAAAAAACCAATAAAACGTCGTATAAGACTATTTAGTTCAAAGCTTCGAATAAAACGAAATGCCGCTAAAATAATTGTAGGTTTTGTCTCGGAGCTCAACGCCAACTCTTCGTGTTTCAGTGGTAAGGGATGCGGACAACGAATCCTGCCACCCAACTATCAGCTTGACGGGAAAATAATGATCATTCGATTGCATCCAAAATCGCCGCCGAGAAAATTAACTGTGTCGCTGCAAAAAAAAGTTGCTTTTCAGTTCATCAACGCGATCGGTGCAGCGACACTATTTTCCCGACAGACTGACAGTAGTGCTTTGCGATCGGCGTAGCGACATTGTGCGCATTATTTTCCTTGCAGACTGGTTCGGCGTGCTACGTATAATGTTCAATTTGTGAAATACTATGCATTAAACATCTTTGCTTGAGAGTTGTACTATATTTGTCCATTGCAAACATTTGAACATTTATTAAAAAAGCCAAAATATTACATATATTAAGTGGTCATAAACACCCTCCCGTAGTATCCGATAATTCCCCAATTTTGATGAGCCGATGTATGACACGCATGGTAACTCGCGGCTACCACCCAGAAGCAACGTCGATCCTATTCAACGACGTCTCTACAGAGTCTTGGCGGTGTTGTGGTCAATTGCAGACCGTCGAGACACTCGCGGGCAATCCCGCCGCGAAAACCAAAATCAGTGGAAAGAAGATCAAAATTGACAAAAAAAAAACAAAATAATTCCGAGAAAAATATTTTTCGGTCGGAAAATCCCACGAAAAATTCTTTTGTGACATTTCGTCGGCCGGCAAGTTGTTCGCACGACGGCGCACTGTGCTGAAATGCACCGTGCAAATGAAAAATCTTTTCTCCGCTGTGTCGCCACGAATTTTGCCCTCGCGACGAACATTGCACAGTGCAAAAAGTGGCAAAATGCACTGTGCGCTGCGAAAAAGGAATACCGGCTCCCGTGCCAAAAAATTTTTTTTAAATAATTTTCCAAAAATAGAAGTTATTAGTGCCCAGAGATCATACACCCAACGTTTTTGCAGCCAAGTGGTATGCAACACATCCTTGCCAGTATTTTTCAAGCAATTTGGTTTAACAAGATCATGAAATTTTTACTTTTTCGAACGCTAAGATGCCTGGCTCCGACTTTGGGCTCGGGGGCCGGAGCCACACCCAAAATTTCCGGCTCCATCTCTGGCTCCCGGCTCGGAACCGGAGCCGCTCAGAGTCGGAGCCAAGAGCCGGCTCCGGAGACGTGGCAATCTCTGGTTGTTACCGAAGGCGCAATAGACGAGGTCCGACCGTCGCTTGTAGCTGGAGATGCCGTTGATGGCTGGCTTGAAAACATGCGAACATGTCAAGACTTTTTTGGCAGCTGGTGACATGGTGCTTATTGCGGGAAAAAAATAACTTTATCGTTGACGCTCAATGAAGCTGGCCATTTTTTGGCTCGGCCTTTGCACAAAGATCGTAACACGGAGGATCAAGCCAAATTCTACTGTTTATTAATGCTTTTTTCATGATAATTTATCGACTCAATTCAAGGGGTATTGAAAGAAAAGAAATATAAAATATAGTACAAAAGGAAAATCGACGTGGATGTAACTACGAGAAGAACACACAACCAATGAATGGACCCTCAGGCGATGTAGTGGCAAGAGTTTTTCGAGCATGACCGAAGAAATTGTTTGAGGAGAAAATGACGAATTTTTTGAAAAAAAATCAAATCCAAAAATTTTTTTGACACTTTTGGATACTTTCTTTGCAGAAACTCGTCATTTCTTCCCCTCAAACTTACAACATACAATATATTGGACAGTAATCATTACAAGAAGTAAAAGTTGAAAGTAGGGGCGAGAGAAAAGGCTGTAAAATTTGCAAAAAGTTGTAAAAACAGAGCAAGTTTTTGGGGCAAGATTAATCGTAAGGACTCGTCTCGTAATCGGAAAGAAATTACAGCATAACAGGCAAGATAGACGGTGGTTTTACTGGAGAAAATTTTGGAACTAGTAATTAGCAAATTTTAAAAAAAAAATTAAATCTAAAAAACTTTTCTACTCTAAAAAATTTTTTTTAACTTGAAAAAATCAAATTAAGCATCTAAAACGCTAGTTACTAGTCTCAAAAAATTGGGGAAGTTTTTTTAAAACCCGTTACAATAGGAAATGTGAATAAAATGTTGTTGGTCAATGTTGATAAAAGTCCAATGTCAGGCAAGAAGATGAAGAGATTTTGGTGGCTAACTGGCGCTGAAAATAGAGAAAATTGGTTTAAAACACGAGGCAACGTCGAATAAAAGTGAAAAATTCAAAAATTAAATTTTAGTTAAAAACTCTTCGTAATTTTATGCATATTCTTTACTGAAAGATTTGTAAAATACGCCCATCTCAACTTCACGACCCATTACGGAAAAATTCACGAATTCAAAAAATAATTTTTTTTTTCGAAAATTTGATATTTAAAAATTTGAATTTGAAATTTTTTTAATGTTTTTTGCTAAAAGTTGTGTAAAACACAGCAAAAGATGTAAGAAAAATCAAAAAAAAAATATCTCAACTCACTGTATAAGGAGATTGTCCATTGATTCTTTTTCAATATACATCGTTCGGCGATGGGATCTTGTTGTTTTTTCCGCGTTTTCGGTCTTTTGCTCGGCTAAAAATAAAGCAAAATTTAAAAAAATATTTTTTCATTTTTAGAAAATATTTAATTTAAAACCATTTTTTCTATTTTTCAAAATTTTTCGTTATCGTAAACGACATTTCTATCGGTAATTTGACCCGGATCCCTATTTTTTCAAATTTCTCTTTTGTCTAATTTCCGGCAATTCGACCGGTTGTAAATCATATTTTACGAGGCAAAATATGCCCCTCACCAAAAACAATGAGGGCGCTTTTGATGCGCCACATCGATGGGAGGCCTTGGGTTTACGATAGGAGGCATCTGGCATGGATCGGACGTTCAAAACTGTATATATTCGTCAATGTAAAATGAGGAATTTTTTCAATTTTTGGTAACTTTTTGTTTGAAAAATGCCTGAGGCAAAATGCTCAGATCTTCTTAAAATTTTTTGGGCCGAGAAATTGTGGCAAATCAGGAGAGGCAGGCAGAAGAACAAAATTTTTTGCTTGGTTTTGCGAATTTTGCTCTGAAAAAACACTTTTTTGTGTTAAACTTCAATTTAGTCAGCAATTTTTTTTTATATTTTTTTGTAATTTTTTCAAAAAAAAGCTTTTTTATTTTCAATCCTACTGTAGCGTTGACAAACTTTATTTCCCCTCTAATCTCCTCCAAATTCCGGCGAGAAAATTAAAATTGACCTCGCCAAATGTGAGTGTGGTAAAACTGCCGCAGCGCCATTTGCTCAAAAACGAATGGAAAAGGCTGTGAAAATTCAACAGCTGGGCGCTTCAACGAACGGCGAAAAAGTTGGAAAAGCAAGAAATACGGCAAAAATGGGGTCATAATTGAATGTTCTTGCAGAGAACCGTGCTTTCAACGGAAACTATGAATTATATTAGAATTTTCGCATTTCACAAATCTAGGGGGATTTTTTTTTTAAAAATAGGTTTTTTTTGTTACAGTAATCCAAAAAAATAGAAAACAATTTTTGAGCTTTTTTAAATTTTTATCGTATTTTACGAAAAAATAACAAAAAAAATTAAAAATTACAGCAGCCCAAAAATATTTCTTGTTATATTACTACCGTATCTTACAAAAAAAATTCTAAGCTAAAAGTTACGGTAACCTAAACTACATTTCAAAAAAATCTCTAATTGCCCACAAGATATTCTTTCTTCCTCGTGCCTACCGTAACCCTTCGTATCACCCAATTTCCACACCGCTAATTATCTGAAAAAAAGTCTCAAACAGAAAAAATTAGTAATTTCTGATTGAAAAAATCGATTAAAATTTTTTATAAATTGCCCACTTTTGCCGACAAAGAACCGAAATGGTTGGTTTATCGACCTCAAAACGGGAGGGAGAGAGGCGATTACAAAAAACGGCTATTAAACTTTAATTACTTGTTTTACGTTTCCGGACCGATTTTTCCACGGCTACTGGTTGATTACTGGATTCGCTGAGGTCACAAGGACATTACACAACAATTTTAGTGCAAATGGGTTACTGTAATTTCAAAAATTTTTTTTTGAAATTTGAGATTTTTTTCGAAAATTTATGGATATTTGAACGACGTATCTATAGATCACGTATTTTACAAGCACAAAACATCTTGAAAAAAAAAAATTTTAAATTCAGAAAAAAAAAACATTTTATTTCTTTGCCAAAATTTCATCTTTTTTGGGATTTTTCGAGAAATATATTGTTTTTTTTACAGAAAAACCGTTTCCGGCCGTATTTTAAAAATTACTAGCTACAACAATTTTTTTTAAAATTTTTTTCCGTTTTTTCTTTAAAAAAATCGCCAAAATTTTACCAAAAATCGATTATTCCTATTATAATCAAATTTAAAACATCATATGACGCTTCCAAATTAAACTCTCGACCTCAACTTATCCAATTTGTCATAGTTATCAGCCTTTTCTTATCCCAAAAAACGCCGCCGAACCATTTGACCCCAAAGATTCGACTCGAATTGCGCAACCCTCGAGAGCGGCGAAAGTTTGGCTATACCATAAATAACAATAAAATTAATCAGATTACCCAATCAAAAAGCCAAAAACCGCTGTGTTCCCGTCGAATTTACGACACCTCAACAAGAATAATGTCAAAATATTCGAATTTACCGTAGTTTTGGGAGAAAATAAAAGGGATTAGGGATGAAATTTGATGCTTGAGATCACTAGTTGCCTCAAGGACGTTGTTAAGAAAATTTTTAGACTAAATTTGCATAAATTTTGAAAAATTTTCATTTATGCGAATTTAGGAAAAATGTATTTTTCTGTCAAAAATCATTGCTAAAAAGCTTAAAAGTGCCCCCAGCAAAAATTTCACATGATTTGCATAATTTTCAAAAATTTGCATATCAAAATTTTTCATCAAAATTCGCTTAAAAACACTTTTAAAATGTCAGGAAATGTCCAAAATGGTCCCAAAAAAATTTACTGACCGATTCTGGAACCATATTTTGATTTGTCGCTCCGTCATGTCCAATTGTGTGGCCAATCCGCATTTCCGATCCGCATTCAAGTACTCCGACTTTTTGAACTCGCTCTCCAGAACATGCCGAATCTGCTCCGAATACACCGTCCGATACTTGTCGCAAGTCCGCACTCGAACATCTGAAGGAAAATTTGATATTACCGATTTTTTTGAGAGAAAACTGAACTGCACTGTGCAAAAAATTGAGTTTGTCGGAAAATATGCAAATTTAGTGAAATTAAAACGGAAAAAAAAAATTCATCATGCTGTGACAACCTGGAAGCGACAATTTTTTTTATTTCAACTTTTTTGCAAAGCGCGAAAAATTGTAAATCTACTTATTTTTCCTTACGCACAGTGCAGTCAACAAAAGCGCAGAAATTTTGTCTTTGCACTGTGCAAAACCCAAAATTTTTGTCGCCTTTTTTTCTGCACAGTGCAGTGAACACAAAGCCCAAAAATTTGTTTTTGTTGCACCGTGCAAAATCTGAAAATTTCAAAAATTTTCCCTCTGCACTGTGCGAAATAAAAAAATTATAAAAAAGACTTTTGAAACTTTCAAAACTGTATTTTCTTGACTTACTGTTGGTCCCAGCTCCAGTTTTGTAGTTTTTATCGTCCTTTTTTCTCCCTAATCTCGAATCTGTGCAGAATGTTGAGTTCAAATCCATTGGATTTAATCGGGATTGGTTGAAGATTGGATAGTAGGGTGCATTCGGGTAGGAATGGACGGCAAATGATGTGGTTGGACAGCAGTCGGAGGTGTTCTGAAAAATTATTATTCCACTGTGCAAAACAAAAAAAAGTTTTGTGTTTGCACCGTGCAGTCAAAAAAATAAAGCAAATTTTGCATTGCACTGTGCAGAATTGAAATTTTTTTTGATTGCACTGTGCAAAATCAAAAATTTTTTCACTGCACAGCGCAGAAAAATATTCGTCAAAAAATCACATATAAACTATATAAATGCTTTAGCTTACCGTAGGAAAAAAGCTATTATGAAGTCCCGAATTGATCATTCGATTCATCGGATTCATGGCGCCCGCCATCATTCCGTTGTTGGCCCCAAAATTCAGTGCCGACGCCGTTGACGCAATATATGGCTCTAGCGGCGACGAGTTGTTGGTTATGAAATTATTGGCCTCAGGCGATGTTGAGATCTCCTCTCGGAAAGGTTTAATAGTTTCCGGAGATTCGGGCGCAGGCTGCGGATTCAAATTGTGATGGGCCATTTGATGGGAGTAGTAGTCCATGTTGAACATGCCCTGAGGCGTCACGGTGTTGAAGAAGTCGGGCATTGAGTTGAAATTGGACGAGGAATCGAAGGAATTCAGGTAGTTGTAGCCAAGGTTTGGTGGGTCTCGACCGGCTGTCATCTATAATCGTATAATTTAGGTAAGGTTAGAGTGGAAAAATGGAAAGCTGGTAAAATACGATTACTATTTCATATGGGAAAAAATACAGAATCCGCCGAAAAGAATCAAAAAATCTCGTTTTTAAACAAAAATTTTTTTGATGAAAAATGAGTACGATACGAAAAAATTACGGTATATGAAACTCGGCTAACAAAAAATTTTATATAAAAATTAATCGCCAATTCATATAATATCTTTCAAGAAATCTCCTTCATCTCCTAAAATTCCAAAGTTTCAATCAATAAACCACCTTATCACCTCATAAAACGCCTCTAAAACCCCTCGGCGTTAATTTATGGCCGCATTCCCCGCCTAAAATCGCAGCCATTTACAGTTATTTCGCTCGCCTCGTTTACAACTGTTATTGTAAACTGAATAAACCAATTCGGTTGGGGCGAAGGGAGGGGCGGACGCTGATTGGAAAGAGATCGCCGCGATGAAAGGGGGCGGAGCTTCGGCTCCAATCAAAGGAAACGAAGGGAGAGGGGGGACTGTAAGCGATCGTATAATTTATTTATCCCCCACCTTTTGCGGAGGGTATAATATCAGGGAAGTTGGAGGAGAAAGGGGAAGTTCAAGGCGTGACCAAAAATTGATTGGAGACAGTGGGAAGAGGAAATGGAATTTTTTGGGGAAAACGAAGCAAAATCAAACTTTTCTAGCAAAATTAGTCAGACCAAAAAATTCGGTGACACATTTGAAATCTTGCACAGTGCAAAAAAATTTTGAAATTTTGCACAGTGCAAAACTTTTTGTTTCTTTGCACAGTGCGAAAAAAATCGAAAATTCCGCACTATGCAAAATTTTATGAATATAAGGGAAATTTTTATGCAGATATCGGGCCATATCTTATGTAAATTACTGTTAATTCCTTCTGATTTGGAGTCTGGTAGTCATGGAAAAATCTCAAAGAAGCAGTAAGAAAGTTGCTGCACAGTGCGATCAAAATAAATCTCAAGAATCTAGTTTTTGCACAGCGCATTGATTTTCAAGTATGTCAAATTCCATTGGTCTGGTAAAATAGTCTTTTCGAAAGCCAAATGTGGGTCATAAAGGCAAGGAAAGGCAAGATATTGATCAATCTTTGAAGATGCACAGTGTGACGCCAATTTGAATAAATAGAATGGCAAAAAATAGAAAATACGGATGTTACAGTAACCCAAGGTTGCCTCCCTCTGCTCCTAAACTCTTTTACAACCCTGTTCTCGCCCTCTACGCCCTAATAAAAAGTCAAAACCTTTATTTGTGCCACAAAGACAATGTAATGCATATCTTCATTCTCTCAGCCGACCCTCTTGACACGATCATCCCCACGCTTAGCACAGAAAATTAGTCGTGTCGGACGCCGAAGAAATTTTTATGATCCCCCGCCAATCCGCTGACGCAACCGCATTACCGTCGGCCATCAGGGCGGAAGCTTGGGCTGCGAAAATTGGGCGTATCGCAGAAAAAATGAGCGCAGCGCGTTGCGCAACTGATTATAAATCGCTGCGAGCAAAAGGATGTTTGGCAGATGGCTGTACGGTTAGGTAATCGTGTTTATTTTTTTTCAAATGGTTGCACTGTGCAGAAATTTTGGGCTTTTTCGACGCCGCACCGTGCAATAGGCGGTTTCCGAAAAAGCGATTTTTCGCGTAATACCGTATTTTTTTTTTTGAAAAATTCTGTTGAATACTGAAGCTGTAGGTCTAATAATCCCTAGCGCAGATTTTTTTACAATAATTTTTAGGCTTTTCAGAAGTTATGACCAAAAATATTTTAGTTGTCTACTATAATACTCTCACTATTATTCGCCCAAAATTTGAGGCATAAGGGCATCGGAGTTGGACGATTGGGGAAAAAGACGATTGGGGAAAGGGACGATTGGGGAAAAAGACGATTGGGGAAAAGTACGATTGGGGAAACCGAAAAGTATTATTTTTCTTCCATGCAAATGTCGAAGTTAGGATAATCGAGGGTGCTCATTTCGAAAATGACATTCATTTTTTTGATTCTTACTTTTTTCCTTAAGCAGTAGTGTTAAAAAGTAATTTTTTGAAATTTTTCAAAAAATACTCGATTTAGGGGGTTTCGAGGGTGCTGATTTCGAAAATGATGTTCATTTTTTCTGAAACTTACTAGTTTTCCTTAAGCAGTAGTGTTAAAAAGTAATTTTTTGAAATTTTTCAAAAAATACTCGATTTAGGGGTTTTCGAGGGTGCTGATTTCGAAAATCATGTTCATTTTTCCTCTAGTACTATATAGTACTATTCTGATACTATATAGTACGAGGTCAAAATATGGCTTTTGACGTTAATGGTGTTGTTTTGATGCTTAGTACTCTTCAAAAACACGTTTTAAAGATTTGGTGCTATATAGTACTGTCTGATACTATGTAGTACGAAGTAAAAATAGGCGTACTAAGCACCAGAACAACACCACGAACGCCTAAAGGCCAACTTTACACCTCGTACTACATAGTATCAGGTAGTACTATATAGCACCAAGTCTTTAAAACGTGTTTTTGAAGAGTACTAAGCATCAAAACAACACCATTAACGTCAAAAGCCATATTTTGACCTCGTACTATATAGTATCAGAATAGTACTATGTAGTACTAGAGGAAAAATGAACATGATTTTCGAAACCAGCACCTTCGAAATCCCCTAAATCCAGTATTTTTCGAAAATTTTTAAAAAATTAGTACTTAACAGTACTACTTAAGGAAAACTAGTAATGTTCAGAAAAAATAAACCCGATATTCGAAATGAGCACCCTCGATTATCCTAACTTCGACATTTGCATGGAAGAAAAATAATACTTTTCGGTTTCCCCAATCGTACTTTTCCCCAATCGTCTTTTTCCCCAATCGTCCCTTTCCCCAATCGTCTTTTTCCCCAATCGTCCCAGTTCCTAAGGGCATATTTAGTATAAAATACGCATTAAGGACCATATTGAGGCCAACCGTTTACAGGCAAACACAATTTCTGATTTTTTTGATTCAAAAATAGTATTTTTTGTCTAGTACAATATAACGCCTTCAAAATATCCCCTTAAAGGGCCTGTACAGCTACTTTGAAAAGCTATTTTCTCGGCTTGGGGTGGCGTTCTGATGTATCGTTTGTTTTCGTGGTGGGACGCACGGAGAAACTCGGTGCGATTTTTTTTGGTCCAACATAGAGAATATTTGGTGTATAACGTACATTATCCAACGTAATATTGCGACATTTTGTTGTTTTTGTGTGGAGAATGGGTAAGTTGTTGTTTTGAATTATTTTTGAATAGATTTTTAGACATTTTCGACGTTGTGGATGCTTTTTGAGGCCTTTTGGATAAATTATAAGATAAAATAGGTTATGTGAGGTGGAAGGAGGGTAAACTTGTTCTAGAAGGCTTTGTTTGTGAGTGGGTGAGGTTATTTTGAAATACTCCAAATTTTTTTTACAGATCGAGGATTTTTGATATTATTTTAGGTAGAAATAAGTGGAAAATGCGTCGTGGTGTCGCATATGTGCCTGTTCTTTCACAATTAGGTTTTACAGACCTGCAGAGTTATTCGGGATTTTTATTTACTGTATTTTGTTGCGTCTGACTTTAATTTTCACATTATATTCATCATGTTTGCCTCTGTTTTCCAGGTCGAATTCCCGTTGCTCGAACATAAACCGTCGTCTCCGAAGAAAGAAATTGAGGTCCTCAATGGATCAAAACCGCTGTGGATTTCAGCAGACTTGAGCAGAACCGGCAATGGAGGAGATGCAGCCATTTTCTGTATTATGTAGACCTTTTCAAGAATTTCAACAATAAATAATTCATGTTTAATATGGGGGGCAATTAACGAGAAAGGTGATCAAAACAGCGGTCGTTGAAGCGGAGTTCTAAGCGGCTTTCACGGCAGTTGAGGTCGTTGAATTGAATTGATCGTTTGCACTTCTGAAACGATAGTGTAATATAACTTTACCTCAAAAAAGTTATTTTTGCTCCTTCATACCTTTCACGAAGATCCTAAAAGCCAAAGAAAATAATCTCAAATGAACTTACAATGGGAGCAATGCGTTTGCGGCTTTCATATTCCACTTTCCTCGTTGTCTTTCTTTAAAGCAACGAGAGATTTTTGGAGAGTTTTCTGGTTAGCACCCTCGTTGGCCTGGCACGTCTTGAACTCATGCTTGGTATTCCGTTGCCCAGACTTCTACTTGTCAAGAGTGAGCTTCGGTGTTTTCTCCTCTTCCGCAACAACAAGTTTTACCTAAAATAATATCAAAAATCCATTATTCTGTCGGAAACAATGTAGAGTATTTCAAAATAACCTCACCCACTCACAAACAAAGCCTTCTAGAACAAGTTTACCCTCCTTCCACCTCACACAACCTATTTTATCTTATAATCTATCCCAAAGACTTCAAAAAGCATCTCTAACATCAAAAATGCCTAAAAATCTACCCAAAAATATTCGAAAACAACAACTTACCCATTCTCCACACAAAAACAACAAAATGGCGCAATATTACGCTGAATAATGTACATTATACACCAAATCTTCTCCATCTTGGATCAAAAAAGATCGCACCGAGTTTCTCAGTGCGTCCCACCACGAAAACAAACGATACATCAGAACGCCACCCCAAGCCGAGAAAATAGCTTTTCAAAGTAGCTGTACAGGCCCTTTAAATCCCATCAAAGACGCCTAAAAGACTTATGATACAATACGCTGACTCTATTACTGCCAAGTCATTTGTCTGATCCAACAGTCAACTCCCGATATCCCACTGAATCATCGAATTTTCCCATTTTATACTCAAAAATTCGACGTGTCAGCGTCCCGCTCATTTACAACAACTGGAAGACGACAAATCTCACACCCCTCTGCAATGCCGACGACATAAGCTGCCCAGAAGTGTAATCGCACGCTTATTTCCCGCAGTGCCCCTTTAGCGACGCCCTAAGGGGCTTTCCCAATTTGCCGCCTAAAAGCAGAACTT